CTCACGTCGATCAGTTGGACAGAGCTCGAAACAATTTCTATACCTTGGTGGTAATCGCAGTCGACACGTGCGTCTCGCTCAGCTCGAGCACGGTGGAATTCAACGCGTCGTCAAAGAACCCACGCCTCAGCAGCGCCACCAACGCCCCAAGCAAGTCAATCGTGGCCTGGTTTCAAGGTTAAGATTGGAAAGCTGCAGTGACGCACCAAGTGGTCCTCGCTGCTCATCGACGTCGACAGCTTCATCGCGTAGTCGAACAAGCGCCATGAAATGGCCAACGGTAGCACGTCATGTACCGCCGCTAGTGACGTCATGACAGAGTGAAACATGGCGCCCGATCCCCAACGCAAATGATCCAAGAATACCATCATCTGCCGATACCGTATCGACGGCCGTGAGCTCGCCGTGGCCTGTACACACTTGCTCCAACGCTTGGCAGTACTGAAACCGAGACATGGCGGCGGTGGGTTCCTTCTCGGGCATGCCACAGTGCGGTCATATGCACAGCAGTAGAGCTTTTCACGTACATGGCGCAACACACACAGCAGCACCACAGCCTTGACAAGCCGCTGCATTCGGTGCACTTCGTCCATGTCTTCCACGAGCGGCTACTCCACAAGTCACAACGATCCTCGATATCACGGACGGGTGGGTACCTCAGTCGCATACCAGGCGAGAACGGCAACGACCGATAAATTGTGGACCATCGGGACTGCCACCACGGCCTTCAGCCCGGCTTTTCGCGCATGCGGGACAAAGAAGAATTTGCTTTGGCTCGTTGTGTGCAAGCTCGCAATCCATTCTGGCTGCTGACCACTAGTAGGGTCGCTCAGTCTCATCCAGCGGCCAAGACGGCTCACCTGTACACGCGTCCCGCCAGGTCATGCCCTGGATCCAACAGCATCATCCCTCTTGCTCTCCGAAACTGCGTCAACGATTTGAACAACCTGCACGACGACCAAATACGACAGCTACAAAAAGCATTTTGTGCGGAATTACGTACGTGCTGTCGTTTGAGATGCCAACAGGACGGCACCACACGTTGTGTAGGGCCAGCTCGCATCCATTGCCTTCGCCCGTGATCGGGACAAAAACTTCACCGACTAGCCACTTGTTTTTCTACATCACGTCTTCGATTACAATCCATTCCCTCTGCGCAATGTGGTTGCCCATGTGGCCGGATGGACTACAGAGATGGGGTTCGGTACCCGACACACACAGCGCAAGACGTGCTCGAACGCCTTGTTGAGGATCCCCGCTTCCAAACCGTGCGGGTTTGAGGCCTTTGCTAAATTGTCTGCGTCGATGCCGAGCCCGTGCTCTGTGGCTTGGTGGTCCCGAAGGAACCTGCAAAGCAAGCGTGAGCGGATGCAGGGGGGACTACGGCATACGTTGCCACGGCAGTGTGCGCAAAATGCATGGCTTCCGACAGGGGTGAGTTGCCCCATCGATCGAGCAAATTGACGTTGGCTCCAATCTCCACGAGAAACTGAACGATCGCGAGGTGGCCCTCGCTGGCAGCCACGTGCAACAACGACCTAGTGGAATCATGCATTCAACCGGTTGCAGCGCACGGGAGGCCCGAGGCGGCGTACCTGGCGTCGTAGTCTTGAACGTCAGGGTGAACAAGGTGAGGCACCAACTGCTCAAGACGAGGCAAGTTGTTGTGTTGGATGGCGGCAAACGCAAGGGGGATGTCGGACGTGGCCAGCGCCTCCGTCTGCAATGGAGAAGCTGTGAAGATGTGTCGACGGAAGAGGCTAAGTGCGTTGGACGCGTTCATCTCGACGGCAATCGACATGGGTGTTCGGCCTTCATGATCCACCACGTCGACAGCCGCCCCAGCCGACAGCAAGAGTTCGATTGCATTCATTTGCTCTTTCTCGACAGCGACGTGCAGCGCCGTGCGACCTAAACTGTCCACAACATTAAGCGACAGGCCATCCAGCCACGCGCGTTTGAGCGCGTCAGTGTCGCCAGCAGCAATCTACGTGGAATTGTGTAGCGTTTGGTGTCACCGTGGCGGGATGGTCCATAGGCTCACCGCGGCAAAAACCTGCTGGATCTCCTCCATGCTCTTGCGTCTTGTAGGGTCGAACGAATCGTTGTGACTTCCGCAACGTCGAAATGGAGATGTCGACGTGTCGGCGAAAAGGATTGCCCGGATATGAGTCGACATCAAAGACGCCACGACAGCATCCTTTGCACAATCTAGCGGCGTCACACCCCATCGATCTTTCGCACGACAATTCGCGCCTGCTTGAATCAAAAGTTTCACCGCCTCAGCATTGCCGTCACTCGCTGCAATGTGCAATGGCGTCCTGTGCATGACGTTGTCGACGTGTGTGTCTTCATCCAAGTTGTGCTTCCTTACCGTCGATCGTAGTCTGCGAGGTTCACATCCCTGCCTTCCTGCAATAGCCGCCGAAGCATGTCTACGTTGCCTGAACCTGCAGCCCAGCACAGCGCCGTAGTGTCCCGAAGCCGCGTCGGCAACTCGTCCATTCCGCTTGTCTTTGGTGCGCTCTGTGTGCGATCGGCCCTTTCTCCACGTTTGTATCCGGATATTTCTACTTTTCCGGATATCTGATGACCGCAGTTTCCAAGAGGCAGAGAAAGGTATGGTCAAGGTGCTGCTGAGTGGAGACGTCGGCAGCCACTGGGACGCTTTGCACGCCCGAGTAGAGAAGCTGCATGCTTCTACTCATGGACCCTTCGACGTGGTGCTATGTGCTGGATTCAGCGATCTCTCAGTCAGCTCCATTCCTGCGTGGCCGCTGCCTGTCTACGTATTGGGAACAATCACCGACACCGACGATCAGCCAAAATGGACCTCAACCAACCTGCATGTTGTGTCAGAAAACAGCGTTGTCATGATCTCTGGTTTGCACGTGGCGTTTCTGGCCGACCCCTCGGCTGTCCACAGCTTTCGCAGTGCCCTGACTGCTCAGCCCATTGATATTTTGATCTCCACCGACTATCCTCAAGGGTACTCAGCTGCCGTTCGACGCAAGATCTAACTTCGTTGCGACAGATTTGAACGGTTAGTGTCTCTGGAGCAAGTGCCACCGCCACTCCAACACGTTGGCCTCCAAGTGAGTCGCACACACGCATGCCCATGGGTCTCAATAGCTGTTAGAGTGTTGCGGAAGCCGCGGAAATCGCTGTCCCTCGCTATCACATTGCAGCAACGCATGGATTGTTCTACCAGCGCCTGCCGTACGTCACAAGCCACGGCGCCACGCGGCACGTCACTCGATTCATCGGACTCGGTCAAGTGGGGGCTTCTCCCGACAAGGACAAAAAGTGGATGCATGCTCTGAACCTCGACGTAGCGGCATCCTACAATGATAGTTGTTTCATACTTGGTGTAGGTTTTGGCTCCAGGAAGTGCGGTGGACATCCCGGCTGGCACGACGCAAAGTCCATACGGCGCGACCAAGCGGCCGCTGCAGAACAACATTGCCTTCCAACCACGAAAGCGATCTGGCTTGTCGGCTGAAAAGGCGCACGAGTTGATGCAGCAGAGCGGGCAGCACGCTACCAAGCACTCCTTCTACGACCACACACAACACGCACGCCTTCCCAATCGCCAAGAGTGCTGGTTCTGTTTGTCGACTCCAACGGTTGAGATGCATCTAATTGTCAGGTACTGGCGTTGGTGTTGGAAACGTCTCCATCGACGTGGCGCGTTGGTAGCATTGGGAACGAGGCGTATTTGGCCATTCCAAAGGGCCCCATCGTCCCAGACCATGCGCTTATCGTGCCTATTCAACACACGGCCTCGATGCTATCCATTAGTGCAGCTGCACGCGCCGAGGTGAATCAATTCAAAGCCGCGCTCAAGGCGTATGTGAATTCTGGTTGCATTGAGCGATCGTTCTCAAGGACTGGTGCAGATTTTACGCTTCCCAAGGCAAAGCCATGATCGTGCTGGATCGCAACGTGACAACTATGGGTGCAGCCCATGGCCACTTGCAAGTGATTCCGGTTCCCGCTGCCCTCGGTATGCCGCGTTCCCTCGATGAGCTGGCTGCCCATTTCTCACTCACTCGCGGGGCTAGCTCCGTCCGTGGTCGACGCTTTTCACGAAGAAGGCAAAAAGTACAACGTGAATTTTTCTCACCTGGCAGACGAAGCCGAGATTGAAGAACCCGAGTACTTGCTTGTGGAATGCCCTGGCGCGGACGAGACCGCATCTCCTCAACGTCTGCTGCATGCTGTGAAAGGCAAGCACTACATGCAGTTTGGTCGAGATGCAGTCGCGGCGTTGCTGAAAGTGCCGCGTCGGGGCAATTGGAAGGTACGTTTGGCACCCGGTTGAAGATGCCATGGCTAATGGACGGCTAGTATTGCGTCGTGCCAAAAGACCAAGAAGAAAAGATGGCCCAAGCATTCAAGGCCGCGTTCGCTCCGTTTGATTTTTCCCTTGCCCTGGAATAATACAGAAATCGACGACACCGTACTTGAGTGGACGCCCTTTGACGTGTTTGTCGAATAGTTGTAGCATGAAGGACTGCATGGCAACACCAACACAGGTACTCACGCATTCGTCAAATATTCAACCATGGACTTGAGGCCCACACTAGAGGCTGGAAAGAGCAGTTGGAGTTGTCAGGATATCGCCGTGCGATGTGCGTTGGGTTTCCTACATGCCACCCCACGGTCCTGTTGAGTTTTTTTTTCAAGAGAGCGAACGTACTTGGCTTTCCATGGACTGGGCCCGAAGTACTCGGCGGATCTTCATCGGGTCATCATTCAACCGAATTTCTTGCTATTCCAAAGAAACATGGATGAAATGTGCAGTGGCAGGTGAAATCAGAGCGACGCACGTTGCGAAAGTCATCCAGGTGGTCGTATATCCCCAAGAGTGCGGAAAAGAACCGGTCGTGATGCGCATGTTGAAGCATCAAGCAGCACGTGGAAAACGGGACTTTGCCCACTTTGTTCTTGTCCATGTAGCGGAAGATCAGCCCCGATCGCTTCTCGAGCTCCGCCGGCTCCTTGGACATCCATTCGGCCAAAAATCGGACGAGCGCATGTTCGTGAAGGTGGTCGGTGTGGTCCAAGTCGTACTTGTCGTACACACAACGGAGCTCGCTGATGTAGTTGAACACGGTCGAGTTGGCCGTCCGCTGCGACGTGAGCTCCCGAATTTGCTTCAATCGCAAATACGATGGGTTCGAGATCGCCGCGGGGGTTTTGTCCAGTTGCAGCACCAAGTACCTTCGAACATCGTAAAGATACAATAGAAAACCTACGAGAATGAGAGACACACCGGAGTCCAAACCCAATATGCTCCAACGCAATGAAAATGAGCACTTGGTGCTTGAACCATGACTTCTCAAGCATGCCCCTGCAGTTGGCACTCGATCGAGCGAGGCCGACTTCAATGCTTTGGAACGGCACCATCGACGCATTGTCAAAGGTGAAATCGCAGTGGTTGTCGTCGCTCAAGCTCACATACGCTCCGAAATGATACCTGCGTTGGCTCAGGCATCGAGTTCTCAGACAGACTTAACGTACATGACGAGTAAAATCGACACAATCGTGATGGCCATCACGTTGGCGTAATGGAGCACTGTTGCCCACTCCCCAATCGACACCTACAGCCATTTTCAACGTCAAGCACCCTGGGAAGACACCTGTAAGTGGACCACATACATCGCGGCGGGGCATGGGGCGGCGATGTCCAAACAGCAATCGAAACGCATCTCCTCGCACCTAGAAGGAATCCGTCAGACAAGTGCCGTGCGTGTGGACTACCTCGAGCACGTTGTTGCAAAAGGCAGGGAATGGAAGGAGTGGCCAAACGACTGTAAACATGAGGATGTATGAAAATTGGATACAAGCGTCCAAGTAATCGGAGCTCGTGTCGAAAACGGGAAGCTTCGATTCAGCCAAAATCTAGGGAAGGGAGGGTAGGCCACCCGCTTGAAACGACTTCCAAGACCTACTTGATACGCTGTATACTCGTTCGAGTCGTCCGAATAGCCCAAGACGGGCACAAAGAACCGCGTCGTGCGGGACACTTCGTCGGCGAGTTTGTGCGCTGCCATGTTTGTCTCCATGCGGTGTTTGCGTTTCCGGGCCTTGCGCTGCTTGTTGCACTACCACATGACTGTGTTGGTGGAATGGGACGGGTTATTTCAGGATACGTACATCAAGACTCGAAAACCACGATGAAGTCCAGTTCCGGCACGACATGGGCTTTCCCTTGATGATGCGGATCACATAGGGCAGCCATGTTTCCAGCACCATGTTCAGGAGTTGCGTGACCACGAGTGGCGTGACGAAGAGCGTGTCCAGCGTCAGCAGCGTTGGGTTCCATTGGTACGCAATCGCCCAATCCAGCTTTAAATACGCATACACGTCATTCACTTTGTCGCCGTATGGAAGGTATAAGAACGCGAGCGCGAGAAACCAAAAAAACCAGTTGCTCCAGACAAAGACAAACTTGCGATGGATCAACCCTGCCACAGAAATACCCCCCATGAAATAAAAAGACGACCCAGGGTAGCGACGCAGGTATCGTACGGTTTTCAAACTCGGACTTCTTCCGAATGTTTTCCCACAACACAAACTTGGACGAGAACCAGTTGAAGAGCTCGTAGAACACCGTGTCAATGAGCAAGCCCAAGATCACGCCCTAGTTCCAAGGTCCATTCGTTTCCAGCGATCTCACATGCGGTCGTTCAACAGACCTGGCACAGAATGTACGCCCACCGATCCGTGCCAACCGTTGAAGTGGGCGACGTAAAGCAGTTGATAAACTGGTGACAGTTCTGTTTCGCGGCGCACTGCTGGCTGTCGCACGTCGGGGCGAGTTTCGACCACACGTACCACTACAGCATATCTGCCGTGAGTGGACATGTCTCTTCTCCGAGAGGGTGATCCAACTCACCTGGAGGAACGGCATCAGCACGATGCACTGGATGATGGAGCTGAGCGCGACGAAGAACAGCATGGTGACCCGGATGAGGCGTTTCTTGGACTTCTTGATCTGTTTTTCCATTTCGTGCGTGATTTCGTTTTTGACCCAGACGTATTCAAATTTCGGGTTTTCGTCGTTGCGTTCGAACACCGTGTCTTTGTAATTGACCAAGTTCCATTTCTCTGTCAACGTCCGCGTCTCGCGCTCCCACACGAGCAGCATCGCCGGAGCCCACAGACTCACCACGCCGAATCCGAGCACGGCCAGACCAAGCAAGTAGTAGTTCCACACGTATCCCGACACGAATCTACTCGAGTGAGCCACCGACGTGACTCGACCGACTGCTGACGTACCGAAAACCCAAGTAATAGAGCACGCACACGACCATGAGTGGACCCAGCATTTTGCTGTAAATGTGCATGAACGCAAACAAGAACGCCACGCGCTCGCCAAAGTGCAGACGCAATTCTACGCCATTCGAACGGTGAGACCACGTCAAAAGACACTCTGCGTTTATACGTACCCTCGATGGCCCATCGCTCGGAGTTGCCTGCAGTCGCCTTGCTAACGCGAAACTCGAACGTTTTCTTGCGATACTCGGCAAAAAACGAGTTGTTGAAGACGCGGTCGTGAAGAGGGAAGCACACGTCGACGACGTCCCAGCATGTGAGTTCTTGCTGATGCTCGATGGACTGAAAACAGGTCGTTGAGTCGACCTGACGACGATGATGGTAGCAATACCCAGTCGTCCTTGTCGTAGTCGCGAAACGCGTTGTGAATGATGTTGTGCGTCAACTGCAGCTCCAATGCAGGCGAGAAGCAAATATTCTTGACGCTCTCGACCGTTTCCATACCCAATCGAGCGTTAGCCTGCCCGCGCTTGATCGCGAGTTCGTCCTTTTCGCGTTTGAATTCTTGTAGCAACAAGTCGCTGTCCTATATAGACAGTCTCGCAAAGTCAGGATTCAGTCCGAGCTCCCCTTTGATTTCAACGCCAGTTTTGATACCTTGTACGGATCGATGAGCACGCAAATGTTGTTGGTTTGGTTGTACTTTTGGTTTTCGTGGGGAATGCTGTTGTCGTTGTCGAGCAGGATAACACCGAGACCCGCTTGGACTAGCCGCCGGAGGCACTTGAGATGCATGGCAGCCACTTGATCGGCCAAGCGATGCCGCGTTGCCTTCATTTGCTTTCCAGGGAATCGCTCGCGCAACATGTCCTTGACTTGGTATGTATTTTTCAGCACGATCGCAAACGTGTACCTGTGCATCACCGCATGAGCATGATGGGATTCGAAGCAAGAGCGATGTACTTTACGAACCGTTGGGTCTCTGGAATCGAAACACTTGGTACATTGAGTTCGTGAAATGGAGCATGACGTTTCTCCTTGACGTTGGCGCCTTTCTCGGATAAATCGATGCCACGACCAGAAAACACGATACAATCCTGGAGTTCGGTCACGACAGGACCGGCACCCCCACGTTCTTTCGAAGGCCCGAACGATGAAGTGTCCGAACCAATACCTGCATAGGAACACCATGCTTGAGTGCTCATGCAGGAACAAACGTCGCTTGAGTGACACGTACGTGATCGTGTTGTCCGTTGGTTTGACCCTCCTGACGTAAATCCACGTGATGGCGGTCTCACGCGTAGATTGCTCGCGGATGGACTCGTCACCATGGCATACGAGCCTTCCGCAGCGGATTCCGATCTTTCCAGGTCTCGATCTTCTTGAACGTTTCCAGGCCTGGGGACAACAGATGATGCTGCGATGCCAGACTGCATTGTGCTTGCTTGTAAGCGGTGTGATCCGCGTCCTTGGAGCCCTTCTCGGCGTGAGATGGACGTGTCTCGTCTGCGATCTTTCGCGGCCCACCGACGCGTCAGAGAGTCGGTCGGGGAGAAGCCGGATTTTGATTCAATCGATATCTTGAGTTCAATATGGTCGACATCGTCCAGAAAAAACGATGAGACACGGGGACATTTCCCAAATCAACTCTGCAATGCCCTTGAACTCTTTCAAGAGGATCGCCCGATCCCCTTCATCCAGATGTAGATGTCTCCACAGCCACCACATGTCGTACGTGGGTGCAATGTAGCTAACCGGTGACATGTACATGTTCGGCGGCTCGCGCGTGGTGCGACACGAGATCGCTTCATGGTGCGATGGCTGCCAAGAACATCCTTCCCAGAGGGGAAATTCCTTGGACAGTTCCACATTCGACTGGGCAACGGACGACGGGAACGCCGGTTTCCCAACCACATTAATAGGGACTTTTCCCACTGAATACATATTGCATTTGTGTATGGGATACTCGTCCCATCCTGTGTCGATCATGATGACCGATCGCCGACGCCGTCGTTGTCGACAAACTTCCACCCGACAGACCGCAGGTACCCAAAGACGAGGGGGTCAGGGCGGCCCGAGGTCGACACATTAAAAGATATCAGCTTGGTGGACCCGTCCTCGGACTTTGCTGCCACGTCGCAATTCAAATCCGCGGTAGGGGACACTTCCTGGGTCGATTCACGGGCCTCTGCATGACACACGATGGGGTACGCGATTTCGAGCCCTGTAAAACAGATGACGGCTGGTTCATGAACGTGCAGCTGTGTCGTAGTACCATGTCTTTCGATGGCCGTCGAGGCGGCGGAAAGGAGCCACAGGGGGGTCAGCCGTGGAACGGGTGGAGCCCACCATCCCTTCGACGTTAGGTTCTCAATGTCCACCGCTCCTCCCTAGTCAAGGATTGCACATCACGACTGCAAGATGTCATCACGTACGAGATCAAACTGCGCCAAGCGCTCGTGGGAGCACGAGAGCCGAATCGTCGATGCTTGTTTCGCATCGCCACCGTCTTTTGTCGAGTGCATTACGTTGGCATCAACGGGATTGGATGGCCGAGCGAGAGGAATGGCGGACGAGGCTGGTACTTTATGGGGCACGACGAAGTAGAACGATGACTGCCACACGACCCCCACATCGTCGAACAAATCAGTTTGGACGGTGAACTCGATTCCTTCGCTCGTGAGCTTCTTGCCGATGAGGACCATCAAACACTGCATCGATCGCAATGAGAACCGGTCACTTGCGTTGTTTAGTTACATTCAGTTCTTCATCGACGCTCATTTGGCGGAGCTGGGTGATGTGGAGTCGCTTCCACGTGAGGTTGCCAACAGGACATGGAAAGTTCGAGTTCCCCAGCAGCTGCACGAGCAAGTACCCGCATATGACCTAGAGAGCCTGGTGAGCGCATCGAGAATAATCCCGACCATGCATGTACCTGTGGAAAGAGCAACGGGACCGTCTTGATGGTGTCAGAAGTCGACGTCGTACCGACGGACGCCTTGACGTTGGCAATTTCGGCGTCGAGAATGGTGAACTTGGTCTGGAGCACAATGCGAGGACAGGCGGCGAGGAGCCGATCTCTCGACGTCCATCCCATCCGAACGAACTTGGACAGCCAGCACCGGAACAGAAACTCTTTCGAGCCCCAGTCCAATGGACCAGGCAGCAAAGGGTATCTAATGGAGGACGGCGATGAAATGCATGCGATGCATGCATCGCTCGCTCGTCGTACTGTCGAAACGTCTCGTGGTCCCAAGTGGCAAACACGTAAAAGAACGGAAGGAGCAATGCCGTGGCAATCGCCGGGACGATCAGCCAGCCGGTGATGACGAACACTTCGCCTGTCATTCTGTGGTTTCTACAATAACAAGGTTGAGGAAGCATGCATCTTCCTCGGCAGTCCCGGCGGCGCACCTGCGATCGAGCTTCGTCCGCCAGAACGTTCAGTTGGGCTTCAATGTTCCCAGAGTGATGCTCGCGGCGATTTTGTAAAATAATAATCAATTAAATACTCAGTTCAAGTCAAATGATGAAATGGTATAAAATTCCCCCCTAAAAACTTCGAAAATTGCCGTCCTTCGACTTCCGATGTCGAAGTTGAGGCAAAACTTCGACCAGTCTGGTTACGGCGCGGGGGTGGATACCACGTTGATCTTGGTGCGCTGTCGAGCTCGCTGCGGCCGTCGACTTGCTGTGTCAGTACACGAGCTAGGCCTGTCGTCCCACCGCCACACGTAAGCGCAACCCCACTGACGTCGTCCATGGCCGACACTGCAACGTCTCGTGAACGCGAGCCCATCTTGAAACGGCCGCGCAAGCCGTCGATTGGCCGTCGGCAGCTGGGAGTGCTGCCCGTGGCCATGATCACGTACTTTAACGTGAGCGGCGGTCCGTGGGGAAGTGAACCGATCATTTCGTCGTGCGGTCCGCTCGTTGGGATCCTTGCCGTCAGCATTTTCCCGTGGGTATGGTGTCTGCCCACGGCTCTCCTCTTCGCAGAACTCTTCAGTGCGTTCCCCACCGATAGCAGCTTTTGCACGTGGGTGGGGCTCGCATTTGGCCGCCCCATGGGTTTTCACGTTGGGTACTGGTCGTGGGTTGGTGGGGTTATCGACAACGCCATCTATCCGTGCTTGATCGTGGACTCGATCTTCTCGATCACGTCTGGCGGTATTTTGGGCAGCGACGAGTACAGCAGCGCCAACACTGCATTTGGGGTCAGGTTTGCCGCGCGCGTCGGGATTGCCATCCTCTTCATGCTGCCCACCCTGTTCAGTATCAAGATCGTCGGTCGCACCATGTTGGTGCTGGCTATCATCGTGGCAATGCCGTTTCTGGTCATGGTAGTCGTTGCAATTCCTCAGGTGAATCCGTCCAATTGGCTCGTCGTCAGCGACGACGTAAGTTCACCCGCCGATCCAACTCGTGCAACCTGACGGAGCATCATCGTAGCGAAATTGGGTCAACTTGATCAGCGTCTTGTACTGGAACTACAGCGGGTTTGACGCGGCGGGGGCGTATGCCGGTGAGATCGCCGACCCGAAGCGAACATATCCCCGTGCGATGGTGCTCACGGTGGTCCTGATCGCGCTCACGTAAACCCACTGTGCAACGAGAACGCAGTCAGCTGCATCATGGGCGTGTGTGTTGTGTCTTTAGGTACCTTATTCCATTCGTGGCCATCACGGGCGTAAACAAACCAGACTATACGACGTGGGTGGATGGCTCGTATACGTCGATTGCGCTGGGCGTAGGCGGCATGTGGCTCTGCGGCTGGGTCGTCGTTTCCAACTTGTTTGGGAATTTGGGCCTTTACATGGCCGAGATGACGAAGGACGGGTTTCAACTGGCAGGCATGGCCGACTCGGGCCTCGCGCCATCGTGTTTTTCAGTGTACGACCTGTCGATGGCGATTTCGTGTGACACAGTGTTGGGTGTAGACGCGATTCCAACACGGGGACCCCACGGCGATCGATCTTTTTATCGTTCGCGATCATCGTGTTCATGTGTTTGTTCGACTTTGACACGATCTTGGGCGTGGATAACTTTTGTTCGGCCCTCTCGAGCGTCGTCGAAATCGGCGCCGCCGTCCGTCTCCGCTACACGCATCCCGAAATCGACCGTCCTTTCAAAGGCAAGTCGATTGCTTTTGAGCAGAACGCGCGCCGTTGAAATCTGTTTTCTAGTTGGACTGTCGGATGGCCGGTTGACCATGGCGATGGTCGTCCCGTTTCTTGTGGGGGTCTACATCGTCGGCAACGAGCTCCTGATCAACACGACCACGATGGTGCTGTGCTCCGTCACGCTCGCGATTGGAGTCGTCCTCCAGCGATGCTTGGATGGCACCAAGTCAAGCAATTCCAACTTCTTGCTCGCGGTCTAGTGCTAAGAATCCGACTGCCCATTGAATACACGATGCGTGCGGGAGTCGACAGTCGCGTGAATACATTGTGTCGACTTATTCCGCAATGTCCATAAGCCCGATCAAATCGGCCACTTCGTCGTCGGTGAAGCCAGGGGCCGATGGCACTTGGGCTTTTCGCCAAGTCACCAAATCGATCGGACCTTTGACGGCGCACACGATGCGGTTCACGTCTTGCTCGGACGCCTTCAACTCGACCACGCACTCGTTCGACCCAAAGAGACGGCGGAGGCTTGCTACAATCGACTTGTACTTTTCGGACGACCGGCAAGCCACATTGACAAGGAACATGCCGTTCTCGCTGAGCGCTGCGTGGACGGACTATAGACAGAGTTGAATCGGAGTGTGTACGGTCGGCATTCCTTACGGCCAGGGTAGCATCCGAAATGAAGTCCAAAGGGGGGGCTGCCAGGCCAACCGCTTTTTCTTCTTTCGACTTGGCGTCGACGTCGACAAGAATCGAGTCGAACGATCCGGGCGCTGGATGAACCCACTTCAATCGATGGACGACCAGGACGATGTAAACCCCATGGACGTACCCGCGTTTCGGAGACACACGACGCCGTCTTGCACGATCACGCCAAGTTTGTTGTTGGTCTGGAAGCCAAAAAAGTCCTTGGCCAAGCCAACGACGGACGGATCGAGCTCGCATGCTGTGAGGGTGACGTTGGGCATCGTGGCTTGGATGTAGCTGGCGAGGCAGCCGCCACCGAGTCCAATGAGCAGGCTCTTGTGGTCACTTGCCGACGTCAGCGCCAACGAATAGTGCAAGATCGACACCATGCTCTTGTGGTATTCAAACGCGAGAAATGTCGGGTCGAAGCGAAGTCGCGCCGTCGACGACACCTTGTTCTTCTTTTTGTTCTTTTTCGCTTTGTCCTTGAGCTGTTTTGCTACACCATCGTTCAGTGAACTCACGGGACGATGCAAGCACCTGTCAACGGAGGCAGCAGCTTGATCTCGCTCTGAATTGTGTTGTTGTTGCTGAGAAACACGAGCCGTCGATGCATGTCGACTTCTTCGACGAAGTAGTCGCCGCTGAGGTCGGTGGTGCCATGTGCGACGACATGGCGCTCGCCCAGGCCTTCCTGCACCGTCATGTATGGGATTTTTTCGCCTTTCGCGAGGCTGTCGGGGCTCAGTTCGAGCATCTTGGGATTCAGCTCCAGCTGTACAGCCTCCAAGCTCGCAAACGAGTGCGCGCGGCCGAGGCTCACGATGAGGAAGCGGCTGAATCCGGCACCCGACGCCAGTTCCATCGCGCCTTCCTCGGTGGCAAAGAGGAACTCGTGCTCACGGCCTTGCGGCACGAGAAACACCCCGCATGCGCCGTTCGGACCGCGCAGTTGGACATCGACGAGGCGGATCGTATACCGAGGGGTCGTGTTGATGGCGGCCGATGTCGACGACGTCATGAGCTCTATCACGCGCTGTCGACCCACTTGGATCTTTTTGAGTTCGTTCTGGGACATGATGTACCACTGAGTTGCCTCAATCTCGTGCTGAAGCCATTGCTTTCGCAACAGGCCCGACTCGTCGAGGTAGACTTTGCCGTTGTACTGGACCATCGCCCGCTTGTCCGACGATGCCTTTGTGCACACGACAAAAAACGGCACAAACGGCGATGCTTTCGAGCGCGGAACCTGGGAAGCGATACGTCAGAATGAAAGCCGCGAGGAACACTTTCTAAGGACTTTACTTCTTGAGCTGAGATCTTGTAAGTCGGCAGGAGGTCCGTGAACGCAGTCAAGAGGTGTTCGAGAATAAAGTCTTGCGCCATGGTTACACAAATGTACGATCCACCAGGCGCTAGAACGCGATCGATTTCGCGGAACATCTTCACTGCATCCGCGAGGACTATCGAGAGAATTGATAGGTATGCGCGGGTAGTCGAGAAAGTGGGCGGTGGGTACCTGGCGTGTCGTCAGTTGCCATGAGGGCATCCAAAGCTCCCTTGTCCATGACACAGTCAAAAGAAGCATCGGCGTATGACATCTGTGTCATGTCCATCACGTCCCATTTCATCGACGGATGCTTGTGCTTCATCTCGTCGATCACGAGCGCACTAAAATCCATCGACGTCACATGGAGGTACCCGTCGTTGGCCCAGTCAGGGCTCAAGTCCGAGTTCCCGCAACCCACAACCAAAACGCGATCTCTGGGCTTCACGATCTTGTGCAGCGCTGGGCGGAGCGTCGAGTACTCGCCATACCATTCGAATGCCTTCTCTTGTCGCTTGGTAAAGAACTCGTCCCAGTATTCCTTGCGACGAAAGTCCGCGTGGTGGCGGGGAAGAAGCTCCATCTACATGCAGATGTTCCATCGCACTGAGAGGTCCCGCCGCAGATTGGGTCGCGCATGTGTACCTGGTCCTGGTCCGACATGACAATCGCGTCAAACTGTTGGTTCATGCAATTCCAGGGGAAATCCCTGCAGTGGACCGATCCGGTTAAACATCAGGTATCCGAAATTATGTTATCCGGAATGCTTTCGTATCCGTAGTCTAATTTTACCTCCGTGTACGGCGACACGCACATTTTTAGCTTTACACCTTCAGAATTGCGTTGGTACACCCTTGGTTTAAGGACGTAGCATGATGTGTTCTATTTTACATGGAAAAGAAGAGCAGAGTACAGTTCGTAAAACGAGGTGAATGTTGAGCTCTATTTATTCACACAGGAAAAAAATTGTCCGAACCCCAATACAGCGCCCCAGGTCGCATTCGCGCGAGTCAGTGCACTTCCGCCCATGGAGAACGAAGGGTCTGGTGCCGCGAATGCCGAAGCTTCTGTCACACCCATAGCCCCAGTACGTCCAGCCTGCATGGATGCATCCCGAGCTGTTGCCATGTGTGGATGTCGAGCGCATATCCACGACTCTCTCGAGATCCGATCTTTTTTCTTGTGCAATTGTCGAGACTCATGGCAACAGCTTCGTGTTCTTCGATACCCATTCCATTCGGGGTGAATATGCGTCACGAGATCGTGTAGGAAGCAAGCCCAAAGTCCAGCGTGTTCAAGAATGCGTTGAACAAACTGGGAAGCAGTAGCAGCAGCAAGAAAGAAAAGTCAAGCAACATCCTGCAATCTGCGACGACTGGGTTCTTTGGCCGCAAGAAGGCGTCATCGAATCCGCCGATGTTTCCTGGTTCAGTGAAACAAGCGTCGTTCTGTGGCGCGCAGCTGCCTCCAGTGTGGGCGGCTCCCCCGCCAGTTGTGAAGAATCTCAATCCAAATGACACCAACCATACAAGCTCAACGTCCCTGAATGATACGACGACGGTGCCGGGGTCCCGCAATGCTGCTGGCAACTTGAGGTCAGAGCAGTTTGCAGCCTTGCTGAAGAGTGACAAGGATTCGGTCGACTTGGAACGTCTACGCGAATTGAGCTGGGGCGGGGTGCCAGTGGAATTTCGACCGCTCGTGTGGAAGTTGCTCCTGAGCTACGTGCCGGCCCACAACGACCGCCGGGACGCCATGCTAACTCGAAAGCGCAGTGAATACCGCAATTTGTTGAACCAATACTACTACATTCCCGACACGGACCGCGGAGTGAAGGAGCAAGAAACCCTGCATCAGGTACAGCGCGCCGATCTCTGGTCGATCTAACGTCATGCAGATCCTGATCGACATACCTCGAACGAATCCGGACGTCCCGCTGTTCCAAAACCCTGTCATTCAAAAGGTGCGATCGGAAGCGTTGTCGAGAGTGCTCAAGGGTGCCGCGGCCATGTAGTGCATGGAGCGAGCGCTGTACATTTGGGCAATTCGCCATCCCGCCAGCGGCTACGTCCAAGGCATCAACGACCTGCTGACGCCGTTCGTGACTGTCTTTCTGTCGTCCTTTTCGGGTAACATGCCACCTTGCGGTGTCGCGGGCTCATGCGTCGTGCAGAGGACCCAGAGCGATGCGACATGACGCAGATTTCGGACGACATTGTACAGGAAATCGAAGCAGACAGCTACTGGTGCCTCACCAAGCTCTTGGACGATATCCAGGTTCGGCGCCCCTTCCCGAGGATGCCATCGGTCATTTGTGGCGTTGACGACATGCGCAGGACCATTACACATTTTCGCAGCCAGGCCTGCAGCGCATGGTGCAGCGGATGGAAGATCTCGTGCGGCGTTGCGACGCCGATTTGCATGGACACATCGTCGAGACGGAGCAAGTGCAGTTTGTCCAGTTTGCGTTCCGGTGGATGAACTGCCTCCTCATGCGCGAATGCCCGCTCAACGCGATCATTCGGCTTTGGGACACATATCTGTGCGAAGACAACGGGTTTGAGAGCTTCCACGTGTACGTGTGCGCCGCGATTCTCATGACGTTTGGCGATGCCCTCAAGGACATGCCGTTTCAAGACCTCGTCCTGTTTTTGCAAAAGCTGCCCACAAACGAGTGGGGCGAGCACGACATTGAGCCGCTCCTGTCGCGGGCATACATCCTTCAGACGTATTTCGCCGACGCCCCCAACCACATTCCCCACAAGTAGCGCCGCCGTCGAGTGTAGTAGAGAGTTGAAACCATCGCCCGCTGTGGGATTGATTTCGTCGGATGTATTTTTATCTCGGTGCACGTGTCGGTTTTGTCTTTCCAGGCGCGGACAACCGCGACGACGATGTCGTACTTGCAAGAAAGCATTCGATGCAAAGGGGCGCAGATCTGCAGCCCGTTCGTGCGCGACGTCCGCGGCACGTCCGTCGTTGGGTATGTCTCGAGTGGCACGGGCGACGTGTACGCGATCACGGAAGGAAAGCATGTTGTGTGGACGCACACTGGCGGCGACCCACGAGGTGCAGCATTTGACAGCCACGGCAAGCTCCACATCGCCGACTGCGCTCACGCCGCAATTCTCAAGGCCGACGTGTCGGCGCACACCCACCAGCCTGGTTTGGTTGTCAAAGTGTACGAGGAAAAGCCATTTCGAGTACGTAAATGGCTTGCATGTCGCTTGCATTCGTGACAAGTGAGTGTGCAGGGGCCGAGCAGCATTCAGATCGCGCCGACGGGAGTCGTCTACTTTACGGACAGCGGTCCGCTCGGCGAAACCACGCTCGCTGAGCCGAGGGGCAGCGTATTCTGCATTGCGCATGGACCGAGTGGCGGCCAGGTGCTCAAGCCGCTGGCGCTCGACTGTCTCGCGCATCCGTGTGGGTTGGCGGTGTCCCCCAACTCTAAACTCATGTAATCCGCCGTATCGTCGACACGTTGACGTGGTGGTGCCTGTAGCTACGTGGCGGAAATGATGCACAATCGTCTGCTGCGCTTTGTGCAGCGGCCGACGGGAATCTACCACTGCACCGTGTTTCACCAATTTGCCGGGGGCATGGGGCCTTCCTGCGTCGCTTGCGACGCAGACGGTCGCATTTACGTTGGCATGTTCGACGTGGCAGGTAATGGGTCGCGGACGACGTGGTTTGTCTCACGGCACGATCCAGGTGGAGCGGATGAACACGGCAAGATATACATCTTGTCACACGCTGGCACGATCGAGCATGTGCTGCAAGTGCCAGGACAAGAAATCACGGGGCTCTGCATCGAGTACAATCCACCTCTCGGCCCCCTCTCCACACGCTCGTCATCGACATGTTTGCGTAGGCCATCGACGCGCGCGCTGTTTGTGACCGAGGCATCCGGGAATGCGCTGCACTGCATTGCGCTGGACGCGATTTTCAAATAGAGCGACACGTTATGGTCCAAGTGAATCATGTAATTGCAAGCATGCTTCCACTACGTCGAGAAGGACGTCGATGGGAGGGCGTGGCTGCCCTGAAAGAGTTGGCGCAGCATCCCGTCGACCTTGGCGGGGGTGTACTTGACGTACTTGTCCATGTGCTTTTTCGAAAAGTGCACAATCGAGTACCTACTCGAGCATTTCCATGGCGGACATCACACGACGACAGGGACGCATGCCGTACTTGTCGTAAAACGCCGTGTAGGTTGGGACGATGCGGTGCAGGGCCGCCGCCGCGAGCGTTTGGCGCAGGTCACCATCGGGCACCGTGAAAGCTTGCTACACCGCCAGATTCCTTGCATGACGTGACAGTCCCGACGCGGCACGACCAACCTGATGCGCGACCAACTCGTCCAGCAACGCATTGAATTTCTGTGGCCATGTCCAAAGCAATTCGTGTGCGACAGGGGAATGACGACTCACCGTGAACTTTTCTTTGAGCAGTCGGCCGCTCTCCAACGTGAGCACGTCGCTGTTGCGGTTGTACTGCAGCTTGCCCTTGGGATCGGCCAGCGTCGCGTCAAAGTCGTCGTAGCTAGATTCGGGACAGTGTAGCATAGAAATTCACTCGACAAGGCAACGCCGCCACCTCAATTGCAAAAACTCGTGCAGCGCCTTGTCTCCGAGTGCTGCGACTTTGGGCTGGATCGTCTGCTGGAGAGCGGCGGTGACAACCGTCTGGACGTCGCCGCCAAGCTGCTTGAGGGACTGCGACACGTACACCACGTTGTTGAGCGTAAAGAGCGCGCGCAGGTCGTCTCGCCCGCCTTTCGTTGCATGCGCCTTGGCTTGGATGGAATCCAGGAGCTTCATCACGATCGAATCTACCGAAACGGGACGATCATGCAAGACGACATCGACACCAGCGACGGCACCGATGAAGTAGGCGACGTTTGTTGTCTGGTCCAACTTGAGCAGGCACTCGAGCTCGACAACGTGGTCGCACAGGTGGCGGAGAAATTGCATCACCTGGTCACAACGTCAACATGAACATGCCGCCGCCGTCGACGTTATTACGTTGCTCGAGACTGGGTGCACATTGCCATCGCGCAGCCCCACTTTGTCCTGCGCAAGGGACTCGCCAATGTCGTGTTTAAACTGCGCTAGCGTCTGCTTGGATGTGACGGCGAGCCCTTCCTCCATCTTGCCGATTAATCCGACGAGCTTCCATGGGTCGGCCGTTTCCACGCCAGGGTGTTCGCGCAGACGCAAGGGCGGCTGTCCGCATCGTCAGCTTTGCATGAACGCGGCGTGCCGCCGCACGTACTTGCAATGCTTCTTTGAACGCGGCGCTTTTGTCCTTGAACAAATAATGCAAATCCAGCGGGCGGAACACCTCGTCCTTGTGCGGGTGTTGAGGCGGCCACGACGGTGGCGAGCGTCGGCCGTTCACGTCGTTGGTCAAGGTCTCCAAGAGTGGAGCAATCGTGCAGCTCAAGGCGGCATGGCTCAAGTCTTCGTTGGGAAAGAGTTTGCTCGACAGCGCCTTCTCCGTCTACGCCCCGCCGTGATCCCGGCACGAATGCAGCGCGGCAGTGTGTACCTTGATAACAAACACAAGCGAATCCAAGTACCGGCCAATGCTTTCCTTCGAGTCCTGCGCGGTCGACCTAGACAGTCGAACCATGTCGATCTAGTCGAGTGGGAAGCACCACTGTACATGTCGCCTTCGGCCGTGACTTTTGCCTTATCCTTGAAGAAGTCCTTGATGTGCTTGAGCCGCTTCTCGCCATATTCCAGCAGCAATTGCCGCGGAGCGTACCCCGTGCCAAGCAAACACTGGATGAGCGAGTTTACTTTGGTCACGTCGGCGTCGCTTGGGTGGGACGCTGTCACGGTGTACTGCTGGCGTTCGCCCGCTGCACCGCTCTCGTCGGGCTCGGCTGGATCCGACACTTTCGTCAATGCCACCGTGGAGTATCGACCAAAAAGCCCAATGTCGTTCACGATATCCGCCTTGCACTTGACTTGAGCGTGACTGAGAACCTGTCGAGCATGCTCCAGCGCCTTTCCGCATCCTTCGTATCCCCGATGCGACTCCATGAATGAAATCGACTGAAGTAGACGTTGCATCGCCTTGACGTACTCGTCTTGGTCGTACTTGGCTCCTTGGTGCAGCGTGGGGGCTACCTGCACGAAGGTCAAGCTGTGCAACCACATGGATGGGGGTGACCTCCGTCGCCGTCGCAAACATCTCATGCACGACCCGCAACTCGTGGACGCTCAAGTCGATATTCTTCTGTGTCTCTCGTAGCTTCTCGGTGAGGTTGTAAATCGGCATCATTTGCCCTTCAAGGCGATCGAGTCCCGTCTTGAATCGTGCCAGGACGGTGTTGACGTTCGACAGTTGTGCCTGCATATCGATCACGACATCCGTCCGTTGTTAAGCCGCAGTTCACTCGCCCTCTCACCTTACTATCCATCAGCGCGAGGCGGATCCGCGCGATGGGGTCGCTCTCCACGGCCGTTGGAGCGCCGCCTTCGACCATCCTACTACTATTCAAGATACGCACTCTCGCAAGATCTGCATGAAATTTAAAAACACTTTCTTAATTCCACTTGATCTTTGTATGGTCTTCGTCAATCGACGAAAAAAAGCACAGGTTGAACCCCCTGACATTTTGTACAGGAATTTCTCAACTTGCCATGGCAACACCGCGTGGCCGAAGTCGCCGCGATCCAGACCCGCGTGCTGAGTTCGCAGTTCCGCAGCCTAAACGAATCTGCTCGGGGGTCGTACGGGTTGTTAAGACCATCGATCCGGCAGTCGCTATTGAGCGCGCCTTGGAATCGCGAAGCTCGTGGCGTCCCATCCATTCCAACATGTCGTCACCCCAACACTCGCTCCACGACAGCCTGGACAAGCTGTCGTTGGTGCCAGATGCTGCGACAAAACTATATCTCGCGTATGAAGACGACGGCACGATGAGTCCACGAAGCAAATCGTCCGATTCCAGCATCTCGTCGGCCTCGTCCAGCGCAGACTCCACCAAGCGACGGAGTCCGTCGTCCATGTTGGCCGTGATTCATGCACCTGATGACGACGAAGACAGGGATCAAGCAGCCTTCCCGTCGTCGCATCGCGTACCAACGACGTAAAACCCCGCGCGCCCTTTCCCCGTCGATGGATGTGTCTACTTGTTATTTATTGCACGGCGATGGCCTCGTCAAGGTATGCTCGTTCGAATCCATGTCGTGCTTGCTACGCCGCTTCATCTCGCCACGAGATATCATAGCACGGACGCTTCGCGTGGAGGGACTCGAGCTGCGCAAACGTGGGCACGACTTCTTGGATCGCGTTGCGATGACGGGTCGCCGACGTGCCCCACACGTGCGACGTCCATTTCCACACATGGGCCTATACAAGCGTTGCTGAAATCGGTCGTCGGTGGCATTCTCGACCTGCTCCATGGTCCTTGCTAGTACAACCACTCGGTGCTCCACCATGGCGAGGTCCGGCGCGTCCGACGGAAACGCCACGAGAAAGCCACGTGCCGTCCACGTTTGGTCCATCGCTTCAAATGAGCTGCGACGGTGGAAGAGCCACGCCAGGTAGACGGACGGGTGTACCTGTTCAAGAGGAGCGGACTGCCCAGAAGTCGCAATGCAGAGTACATGCGGTTGAGGCGATCTTCGTCCTGGGGTACACCGCGACATGCGAACGATGGCAGGTCGACCACGCCGACGTACCAAACGAGAATGGCGACGAAGGATGTCGTATGGAGAAGCAGAAAACATGCCGTAGATGACGTTCGCGTCGAAGATGGCGGGTGGAACGGGACGTCGTGGCACCGACGGCGGAAGCATGGCTCCGTCTAGGTCATGCATGGCAATGCGAACGACATGCTGGGACGACGGGACCTCAAACGAAGTCACTAAGAGTGGCAACGCGCATGTTAGATCGGGGTTCGAGATGGCTTACATGGTACCAGTCGCCAGCACGTCGGTCCGGAACGCGGCCGTGGGAAAAGCATCCAGGTTCGCTAAGAGCTTGAAGCGGGTCAAGCTGACGAGTTGCGATGGTTCGTTCAGATGCGGGACATCGTACTCGAGTGGTGGGTTTGGTTTGCGTCGAAGATGCCGCGCTGGGACTCGGTTCGATGCTTCGGAGAAAACCAACGAGGCCGAGGGCGAAGCAACCGAGGGATGTGACGGCCATGACGATCCAGAAGCGCAAAGTGTTCACTGTCCATCGGTCGTTGAGGTCGTCGATGGAGCTGTCTGCTGCGCGGCGAGAAATTCGTTCACCCAAGTCGCCGACGTGCCGCCGCTGTCGTGGGCGGCGCATCTGTTCAAAAAGATCCTGAGTAACGTTCATTTTGAACCAATGAGCGTGTTGACCACCGAAAACGTTGCAAGAGGCAAATATGGCGCCGGCCACGTCGATGTGCAGCGATGCGTCGTGCGAACGAGCTGGCATCCACGTGAACTACTTGAGAACTTGAGCGATCATGGCGCAGCGGCTTGTCTTGAGCTGGGGACGACCCTGGGATTGCATTCGTTCGTTCAGGCACCAAACCGACGACACCCGTCTGCGTTGGCATCACGTCTCATGCATCGTCACCGTGCCATCGTCCACTGCTAGCACCACGGACACCACCGTCGCAACTCGTGTGTCGATCGACGGTGTTGTGTTGATGGCGTTGCATGACCGCAAAGCGTCATGCGCCGTTGTTATTTCGTCGGCATTCTGACTGCGCGGGGATGCCATCGATACATCCTCCTGTGGAGGGTGCTCACGGACTGGTATGGCGGCGACTGCATCATTGCGTAGTCCCTGGACATAAGGAACGCCACAGTGGACGCGACGTGTGTGTGTCGGCAATCTTTCGCGACCACGTCGTCGACGAGTGCGACGCAAGTGCCTGGGCTACTGGCTGCGGCGCCATCCACGTGCGACGTCCGCGCACTGGTGAGCCACGCACGCATGGGCAACCAGCGTCGTTCCATCCCATTGAAAACGCACCCAGACGAACGTCTGTGCGCGTCCATGTTTCTTCGAACGCGACACTTTGGCCATTTGGGTCCTCCACGAAGCAGTGGATATCGCTGTCCATGCCAACGCAGCGATGGACGGCAATGCTGTTTCGATCGACATTACGTGCGATTCGATTACATTTGCTTTTTCGCCCAGTCGTCGAACATGACTTTGTAGTCGTCTACCTGGCGCTGGAGTTGGGCGTTCTCGTCCAAGAGCTTCATGTATGCTTCTGTGTGGTTCGCGGCCTGTCGCGTTAACGCCTCGATCTCTTTGTCTCGCTTCACACTTTCGTCTGCCGCGAATTGCATGCTCAGTGACAGTCCCTTGGCAAAGTCGTCCGCCGCACGCTTGTACTGCTTCAGACCGTAGTCGGCCTTGCCTTTCCGAGAGTACACTTTTGCCCACAACGGATCGAGTTTCTCTGCTTGCTCGGCATCGGCCAATGCTTTGTGGAACTGGCCGAGCTCACAATAAGCTGCTGACCGGTTGCTAAAGAGGGTGGCAGTTGGCTTCTCGGCCAGACCTTTCGTGTAGTGAAAGACGGCACCGTCGTAGTCCTTGCGATTGAAGCACGCGTTGCCTTCGTCCTTGTGCACCGAAGCATCCTCGTCTGTGGGAACGTTCCGTCCCGATCGGTTCAGCTTGGAAAGGCTCACTGGTAACTTCTCGCTGCCATCGCTTTCGGTGCTTCCCCAAAGCCAATTCATCGCGTCGGCCGCGCTCGGTTCGAGATGGACGACGCTGTCGTCCGTGGGGACTCGAACGTGATCCAAGTTGTTGTCGACGGTTTGCAGTTGAGTATACTACTTATAAGAAATATTGTCCATTCAGAGTAATACAACATGGAACAATTCGTTCCCAAAATACACGCAGTGTGATGATGGAACGCGCGCGTCTCAAGTCGACGGAGCTTCATGCGACAGTGAAAAACATCGTGGAAGACTTCATGGAGCACTTGAAGCAAGGATCATGCGTAGATGCAGTCGTGTTGGTCGATGCGCTGACGCGGCTATGCTTGACAAACTCCAGTTTGCAAACGGCAGTAGGTGATGCCCTCGCCCCGCACATGGCAACGTTCGTGCCAAGCTTGTACAATCCCGTGCTATGTGTCTCGTGTGCGGCGTGCCTTGCCGCATGCACACACAATCACCGACTGAACCAACGACGACTCGTTCGACGCGTACCTGGGTGGTCCATCCCAGCGGCGCCGACGGCATCTGAACACGTCACATCGTTGTACGTCATCTGTATACCCGAACGCGTGCGTCTGCAATGGCGGCAATGGAGACGGCGTCAACGCAATCTCCGAGGTCATCGCATACCTCATGGCACACCACCAGCCGCAGAGCTGGGAACTCCCGCCCCTTGTTACTGCAATACGTGTTTGGGGACCATGCAGCTGTACTCGACGTGGCTTCGGCATTTCAACGCATTCGACCGATGGAAAGCAGACGACGTCGCCGCTTCGTCTGCCAAAAGCTCCGGGTCACTGCCTCCTACCACGTCGCTGGAAACGTACGTTCAAATGGCGCTTCTGGCACATGGACCAGTGCAACGCCATCGCGTGGCGTGCATCGTGGACATGATCGAGTCGTCGGATGTGCGTGATGACGGCGGCGCCTGCCACGTGTACTCGATCACGGATCAAAGCACCGACGTGCCATGCCCCACCATCGATCCCTTACGCGACGTGATTGCTATCCAAGTATTCCGAGACATTCCGAGCGGGGAAGGGGCAGATGCCCTCGAGGCACCCGGCGCACCCACGGGAATCAATGCCCCAAACTCGGTGAATCAAGTCTGCGGCGAAGACGACCTGTCGTTGGATGTTGTTTTGCTGGATGCCGCACGGAGGATACGGTGCTGCAGCCCGACAGAGGCTGTGTCGTCGAACGATCCAGTCGCGGCGATGCCACACAACAGCACTGCGGAATTTCATGTCCAAGTGGCAGCCAATGTCGCGTTGCAGCATCTTGTCATTCATGCAGTCGACGCTGGAACGAAAAAACACCAAGCCTTTCGAGCGCTTGTGCCTGCAGCGTCTCTCACGCTGGCGTCGCCGCTGGCCCTCCTTCAACTCAGTCTTGGGGCGATTCACAACATGCTCGACACAGCGTGTGTGGTGTGTCGCCACTCCACGGCGACTTGCCCATCGCAACGAGCACACGTCGACGCGGCCTGCATTGTGCTCTCGCGTCCACCTGCCAGGTGATTTGCAGCGCTGGACACCCCACGGCCCGCCACAACCCATCCCTGGCTTGAGCGCCGTGCACGGCGTTTAGAGACTTTGGTGCGGCGCATCGAGGCAGGTCTCCAAGACAGAGCTGGGACCGAGGAAGGAATTACTCGCGGTGGCCTTGTTGACGACGCCATCACAACCCTTGGTGCCTTGATCGACCTTTGCAATCGACGACTCACGCAACTGGCAACACGTGCGAATTTCCCGCACTCGACGCAACACCATCGCATGGCTGCTCGAAGTCAGCGCATTCGAAATGACCTGGTGGCGGGTGTCAAGAGGTTGCAGCTGCGAGCAGGCGGGACTCGGGCCAGTGTGGCCCACGTAAAGGCTTTGCTCGAGTGCTCGGTCGTGTCCAGTTGGACGTTTGCGGCGTCGGAGCGGTGGGATCCGCGCGTGTCGGCGTATCCAACGAAACATGGGCAAACGGAACACCCGACGCGGCCAAGCAGACGAGCGATGCGACGACAAAAAGCCGCTCTGGACGCGCTCACGACTGCTTTGCATCGCGACAAAGGTACCCACTGACACAAAGCGATTTGGACCCGATAGTGTGTTTAGAAAAGGAAGCAGTCGCAATTGGTCGTCACGATGCACGGCAAGATCATGGATCGGCGGTGGTTGGGAACTTGACACTTGATGCAGAGGACGCGATGGACGATTCAAGTCGGTGTATTACATGGTGGAGCTCTATCACGCGGCACTCGAACGCATCTACAAACCAATCGAGGCGAAATGGTACGTGCCGATGACGTAGCCAAAGGTCGACCCGACCGCGAGACCAAGGAAGAGGCTGAACACCATGAGGGAGCCTGCCGCCTCGCGGTCTTCCTGTGCAACAATGCGCGGCGCAAGGCCCATCGTGATCGTGCTGAACATGCCGCCCGTGAACCCCAGCAGCACGTTTAAAATGAGCTCCCAGTAGAGACCGACCACGGCAATGCCATCGAACGCGTACAACGAGCTCGAGTGCGTACCGAGGAGTAGCAGCGGCAGCCACAGCCATCGTAGAAGCGAAATGTAAAAGCATGCGTGGAGTGAAAACGCGCTGTACACGGCTTTCGTGCACACGATGCGCCCCAAGAAGTCGCCGATGTTGAACGACGCAATGATGCCGGGAGAACAAAACCAGGACGCAGGGATCGAGGACGGGTCGAGGACATGCACGCTCGAGGCACACCCGACGCCGGGAAAGAGCGCGAGGGAGCAGAAGAATAGCATGAACTGTGCCACCATAGGAAGCATGATCACCTTGGCGACGCGCCAGTACTTGGACCAGACCTCGGCGGGCGATGGGTCGCCGTACTTTGCGTGATCGTCGTCTGCGCGGTCCAGAAGGTACTTGACGCACGGCAGCGCCTCCAAGTAATGGAATACGACGAGAGCAATGACACACACGACGAGGAGGACCCCCATGAAGATGTAAAACGACAACTTCACGCTCGTTTGGCTCTCGTTCAAGTCGAAGCCACCGACAAACACCCGAATGACCGTGCTCAATGCGATGTTCATGACACCGGCCGACACGTTTCCAACTTGGACGGCGTGCGTCGAGTCTTCGTCAGGGAAGAGCGCCGCGAGGAGGTAGAAGGCTGGTTCGACGACAGAGTGCGCGATACCCACACAGGCAAAGCTGGCCAGCACCGCATACGCCGCGACCGTGCTGTCCAACGTAAGAAAGTCCTGGGCGATGATCACGATCGCGGCCCATGCAAAGAGAAAGTACCCGATCGCGACGCGGTTCTTGTAGCTAATTCGGAGATGGAACCCCGCTTGCAAGACGTGTCCGATCACGAGCGGCCACGTCAGCAACGGCGTCGTCAGAAAGTCAAAGTTCACCGACGGAAACGCCTTCTTGTAGTAGTCCTGCGCGGACAAGCACGAAAAGTACGCCCACATCACGGACGCTTCCAGCACGACGAGCGACCCCGTGATGAACACCTTGTGGTGTTTGATCTCGTTCAGCACAGACAGCGGGATTCCATTTAGGCCGACGACTTCGACGACTTCATCTTCTCCTTGTATCGCCTCGTACTTCAGCGACGTCGGCTTGCTCGACGCCATGGCTGCCCTGCTCCAAGCCCTTGATGAGACCACAAGCGGCAGTAGCTCGCCGGCATATCATCTTTTTGGTCGATTCCACCTCCTTGACGTTAAACACAGGGTTAAACAACGGAGCTTGACTTTAGTGTGGTGACGCTGTGCTCCTGCCAAAAAACGCAATTGTTTAAACCTAATGCCCGCACTGGTTGAAGTGGATGCCGCACTGAGCTCCATCCGTTCGGCCTTGTCGACGACGTGCACTGGAGATGGAAAATGCGTCGCCGGCGCCGTACACGCTGCGCAGGGCTCCGAGCAGTCCATTGCTACATACTCCAACAGTGGGTAGACTTGCTGCGATGTGGCCGGCGAGCGTCCTGATGTGCGTTGTCCTTGGAGAGTATGCTCGTCGGAATGCGTGTATGCGCACTTGTCGGTGACGGATCGTGCTCGCGTGAGGGAACGGCGCAGTCAAGCATCGAACATGTAGCGGAAGACAGCTAGTTAGTTGGACATGAACTTTTGCAACAAATAGCGGGACACGTGCTCTTCGGCAACGACGTTGAGGCGGCAATAGAGATGCGCAAACGGCTCGTTCATGTCCCTCGTCGTCTTCTTGGGCAGGGTTTGCACGAACGGCCGCGAGTAGATGACAGTGCGAAGGACGGTGCGGATATTGCCATCGGCGTCGCTCTCGGTGCGAAACATCACGCTACGACGCCACGCATGAGCGATCCATCGCTCCACGAACGAACCCACCTTCCGATTTCCTCGCGGCGAATCACGGTGGTCGTGGTCGGGTGGTAGTCTGGCGGGGCGGCTGGAAACAAGTCGTCTTGGTCGATCGACTCCCACGTGAAGATCGTGTAATTGGGATCGCTGGAGCGCGTGACCACGTCAAGCGACTCGAGTCGGACGTCGGGCATGTTGGGGACCGAGTACGTTACGTGCTCGTAATGGGACATCGAGTCCATTTGGAGGATGCGCTGCATCCATCGCGTCAAGGCCTTGGGACTCATCGTCGACGCGGCGTACCTTTCGGCGGCACAGACCAGCGTTCATCACGACGTTGTCGTCGCCAAAGCCCCAGAAGATCGCCCAGAATACGTCCGACACGGTCTTGTGGTCGAAGTTTGTGATTTCGCACACGCGGCAAAACTTAATGCTGACGTTTTCGCCCATGCCGGTCATGCGAACATCCACGTACGGCGGAAACGACGGGATTGAGTGCGTGTCTTCAAGGATCTAAGCACCGTGATGATCATGCGTGGAGGAGTGTGTGGCGAGTCGTACTTGGTTGTACATGCGCAAAGGTGCGGGCTTGGCGATGGCCAGAAGCGTCGCATGCCGGTGAGCAGGGTCTGCCGTGAGATGGTGGAAAGGGTGGTAGACGTTCGGACCTGGGCCGGTGTCGGCAGTTTGCAGCGGAGCGTTTAGCCACAATCCTCGTAGCGATGCTTGCACACCAAAGTCCTCATGGTCGTCCGACATGTCCAGCGGTGGAATGCTGTCATGAGGCGGTCGCCTGCAGTTTCGACAACACGACGCCAACGACGCGGTGAGTTCCTGGACTTGCGACCGCAGCTCGAGGAGTTCCGCCTTCTGCCGAATGCGGTGCTTTCTTGCAGACTTGGCAATCTGAGCACGTCGTCGAGCCTTCTTGTCCTCTGCTGCTAAGGCAGATCTGAGGCTATCGTCGTCATCGTTCTCGACGTCGCTAGACCAGACAGAGGAGCCCTCGACCTCTGTCGCCGGAGGTCCGTGAGCGCCTTCTCTTGTAGGCACTGTGGTGCCGTTTTTGGACATTCCTAACGTAAGACGTGGATTATGCCGCGGGCACGGCGCATTCTTACCTCGGCGCACCCTCCTCGCCAATTTCGTAGAACATCTAGCGTCAACACGTAAAAGGATTGGTGGAAATAATGACTAGTATCTGTATTTTATCCAACCAATTTACCAATAGCTTCGTATTTCTAGCCAATGAATGAAAGTTGAAATTTCACAGAAACCCAACATCGATGAACGGCGCAGCAGGAAAGGGGCGCACGGGCACGGCGAAGGAGCGAAGTGTCTTTGGTACGTCGGTAGACCAGTGAGTGAGCATGGAAGGAGGACTTTGATCCGCGCTCCGGTAGTTGGCAACATTCCGTACGATGTCACAGAAGAAACACTGAAGAATATCTTTTCTGCCGTCGGCCCCGTCGTGAACTTCCGGTTCGATCCATGGATTGCTGGACGTTCGTCTGACGTGTCGTGTCCGTCGTGGAATAGGTTGGTGACGGACAGAGATACTGGCAAACCCAAGGGGTATGGTTTCTGCGAATATGGGGATGGTGCCACCGCGTTGAGCGCCATGCGCAATCTCAATGGCACCGAAGTGAACGGCCGGAACCTGCGCGTGGACTTTGCCGATGGTGGCGAAACCCAAAAATCCGACAGAGGAGATAGAACGGCAGGAGTCAGTGGAGAAGCTCTCATCAAGAGCATTGAGAGCGCTGTCGCGTCCCAGAGTCGCATTGCGCTGTACGACATGCTCACAGCATTCCAAGCGTTTGCGCGATCCTCCCCCGATGCGACCAAGAACCTCCTTGGGGCCAATCCTGTACTCGTGCATGGTCTGATTGAATGTTTCAAGAAGCTCAACATTTCGATGACGGCGCTGCCTCCCATGCTAAAGGTGCTCGTGCATATCCCCGACTGTTCTGTCTCAAACCCAGCACGTTCGTAGACGCCAGCACCTCAACAATACTCGAGCAGCAATAGCCTCCAGCGAGGGGGGCCTTCGCGCCAAGGAGGCGTATTACCTCCGCCACCTTCCGGTGGAATCCTTGGCTATGCCCCTCCTCCGATGCAGCAACACATGCCACCACCGATCTCCGGTCACAATAACATGATGATGGCGCCATCGAGCTCCCCCCTGAATGCGACTGCCCCTCCGCCGATGAGTCGTGTGGTCTCACGAGACCCTCGAGCCCAGCGACGAGACCCCCGACTGGCGGCGAAGCGCGAACCTGGTCCCAACGCGATGGACCCGAAGCGGTTCAAGCACGAACCTGTGGACAGCGCGGCCGCGGACATGGCTCGCGGCATGACCGCGGACAAACTGGCGCTTCTGCCCCCGAACGAACGGCAGATGCTGATCGCATTCATGCAGCAAAACAACATTCCGTACTCGTCGTAGGCGCCGAGTGAACACGAAAGAATGCCCACACTTGGATGATTTATTCGACACCACGCTGGAAACAGAACGTGGTGCTAGTCTTTCCGATGGGCCTCAGACGATGTCCACAGATACCGATACAAGCAACATGCAATCGCCGCGTGCATGATGCCAGCAAAGACGAGGATAGCGATGACGTGGGATTCTCTCGGGAGGCGGCACATTACCACGTGGATGCCTTTGGACGGGTGTTCTTTGTTGGTCAATAATGAGTGGATGTCGTCGCTCAGGGTCACAAGGGCAAAGCTACAGCATCCATCCACTTGAGCCATCGGAGGCGACTCGAGACGTACGACGGGTCTGGTCGCATGCCCCATGAGAACGTCGGGACTGTGACTTCGTCCACGAGTTGGGGTTGATACTGGACGCGATGCTGGTAGGCGCATCCCGCATGGCTGTGGCCAGACAGCACGAGGCGGGGACGGATCGACTCGAGGAGTCGCTGCGATAGCGCTTTCGACAGGACATGATGGCGCTCAGTGTACTTGAAATCGGGAGCTTCGTAGGTAATGTGGCCAGCTTCGGCCGCGCGCTCAGCCCCTACTCATGCCGACAGCGCATGAAATAGCGCGGATGGGGGCCACTCACGAACCGCATTCAAGGTCATCTGGGCGATAGAGAGGCAAGTGCGTCAGCAGGACCAGTGGCGGGTAGCCTGTACTGCGACGCTTTGCTTCGACGCTGTCCAAGAACCTAGGGTTATGTTGTTTCAAAGAAGTGGACGGACAAGAAGGTTGACTGTACGCCATGGCGTCGTGATAGACTTTGTGGTCGATCACATCGGATTCCATGGCCATCGTGTTGAGTTGGAGAAATAGCACGTTGTTCACATTCACGATGCGGTTGGAAGGTCCGAACGCTTCTTCATGACGACCGATCAACTGTTTGGTGAGGCCATTGCCAAAGGATGCGTCGTGGTTCCCCAGCTACCTCGACAGCGCAATCAGATGGTCGTCGTCAACGCGACAACCTCACCAAGTACAAGCTCTGAGCAACGTTAGGGTCGAAAACTTGCCGAAACCGAGTCGTGTAGGTCTAGTGGGGGATGGTGGGAAAGACGGGGTTTTGGCGCAGTTCAGACCTCGTGAACGTCATCCGACGTCGCGGCCGTGCCTTCATCCAGTTGGTCACCCAAGTACACAATCAAATCTGGCTGCTTCCTCGACACGATCGTCGAGAACGACAGCCACGCTTGCCAGTCAACCCACAAACGCTCGACTCCGCGCCTCTTGCGGTGTCCCAGCAAGTGGGCATCACTGACAACGACTGCTCTCGTACTGCTCTGTGCTGCCTTGGATGCCCACCTCGCTGCACCGCAGGCTTGTACGCTGTAGTGATAGTACAATACCATGCACAGCCACAGGGTCAGTCCGCTGGACAGCGCCGCGACTACGACAAATGCACCGCGCTTCATCATTGACACTCTTTTTCACATACATCCGGAAAACGGATAAACTTAGTACGTAGTACAGCCTAAATTTAGTAAGTCGTACGTTGGCGTTCATAGTACTGTACTATCTGTTCAACCCAAGAGCTAATAGTACTACTAAAGACACTTCTGGGGTTCGTTAAGATACTCATGATGTTCTCGCTCGTTCATTTCGCAATTCCCGTCGAGCTCCATGAAGGTTTCTGTGTGTGCATTGGGATGGTTGGCCGCGTCGGCCACTGCCGCGACGTTTCGCGTTCCCATGACCAAGCTAGATGATGCGACGTTTGTTGAGAGGTACCTCCATGGGCAGCGCCTAAAGGCCCCTGCTGTGTGGGACCCCGCTGGTATGTCCCTCAGTGACCACGGCAGCGTCGTGATTGAGGACTATGGAAATGCCCAGTACTTTGGCGAAATCGCGTTGGGCACTCCTGATCAAAAGTTTAACGTTGTCTTCGACACGGGCTCGAGCAACTTGTGGGTACCCAACAAGCTCTTTGGCACGCACCATGTGTACAACCACAAGGAATCGTCCACGTACAAACCGAATGGAACCGCCTTTCACATTCAATACGGAAGTGGGCCGGTGTCGGGGTATCTTTCACAAGACAAGCTCGCGTTTGGAGGGCTGACTCTCCAGGACCAATTCTTTGCCGAGATTAATGTCACCAAAGGCCTAGGACCGATGTACTACCTCGGCCACTTCGACGGCATCTTTGGCCTCGCATTCGATTCGATCTCCGTGGACCACCTCAAGACGCCCTTTCATCGACTCCTGGATACGCTGGACCGTCCAGTCTTTGCGTTCTACTTGGGAAACAACCAGCCTGGTGAGCTCACGTTCGGAGAGCTCGACCCGAAGCACTACAAGGGCGATATCACGTATGTCGAGTTGTCGAACGAAACGTACTGGCAGATTGCATTGGACAGCATCAAAGTGGGAAACAGTGAAGTGTCGGGCAAATCTCAAGCAATTGTGGACTCTGGTACGTCGTTGTTGGCCGGCCCCAAGGCGCTAGTCAAGTCGCTGGCAAAACAGGCAGGAGCCCATCCATTCATCATGGGGGAGTATTTGATTCAGTGCGACTCGCCTGGGCCGGACATCAGCTTCACGTTGGGCGGCAAGGTGTTCACGCTGACCAAGCAGGACTACATCATCCGCAGCGGCCCCATCTGCCTCTTTGCGTTTATCGGCCTCGACATCCCGAGCGGTCCTCTTTGGATTCTTGGTGACGTCTTTATGCGCAAGCACTACACTGTCTTTGAGTGGAATACCAAAGGCAAGTCGCGCGTCGGTTTTGCCGACGTAGCATAAAGTCGATTCACGATCATTTTTTTTCTTGCCTTGGCAAGTTCTGCGCCGAAATGTGTGCTTTGGCTACGGGAATGGACTCGTATCGAGCTCATGGCGATTTCTCATCCCAGCACCGGAGGAAGAGTAGATGAAACAGGAACAACAGTGCGTGTATTTGGAAGGAGGCACGTAGGATAAATACAGCAACTGCCGTCGTTTCTACGACCGCCCGTAGTGATACTTAAGCGCCAGGTTGAATTTCGAGACGGCGGCGTCGGGGAGCAAAAGGAACTGCGAGATTCCCTCGGCTTCTTCTTTCAACGCCAGGAGGTTGCACGTCGACGAGAGGGCTTTGACCTGCTTCACCCAGTCCACGGCGCGCGATAGCTTGAGATCGATCTCTTTGTAAAACCGACACAGGTCCGGCGTTGGAAAGTCCAGCTTGCCGTGGACGACGTCCGCCACCAAGATGACGAGCTGCGAGTATCTAAGGTGCACCGTGAAGAGTGCATTCCGCGACGTCTTCTTACCTGGGAGCAGGCGTCGAGCAAAATATGAGTCGGCACGCACGCAAGAACCACTGCAAGGTCTGGAGTTTGTTCGGGGCTGGCTCCAATTGCACGAGCGACTCCACACGCTGCACGATGGTGATATTGTCGTTCAATTCCGTGGTCAGGGTCTCAAGTCGGTCGACGATAGTTGGAAGGGCACATCGGTCGAGAAACGATCGCTCGAATGCAGCCACATCTTCCAGAACCTTGACGCCATCGTTCACAAGGTTCCGCAAGTGGTCCAGCCCGGGCACTTTAATTTGTAGCGCCTCGCCGCGCGCAATGAGCCCTTGCACTTGCCTCAGCGTAGGTCGCCACGGGCGTTTAAACACGAGATTGCCCATGCCTTGACGAAATGCGCATGCTTGACAACGGTACGCTTCCAGCTCACTCAGTGCGACCGGCGACAGCCCAATGCACTTGGCATGGTACCTGCAGCAGCGTTCGTGACATCGCGGATCAAGCAGACCTTACCACTCGTCGCAAAAGTCGCAGCAAATCATGGGAACGTTGTCGATGGGGGTGCGGCAGAGGCAGTACAGTGTCTCGACCGTCGCCACGGCATGGTAAGGCATCCGTCGGGACGTACAGCACTCCTTGCACATGTACGACCTGTGGCCTTGGTTTGGGTCGACACCCACACAGGGCGGGTGAAACCTATGCGTGTCATGTTGGTGTCGAAACGACTAGTGTGCCATGTTTATCGTACAAGGAGGTGCAGCCCGTGCATCGCACCACTGCGACTCGTTCGTGGTACGTTTGATTGCAAATGCAAATGAGGGAGGTGAGCTCTTCTTCGATGGCGCTCCTTTCCAGCGCGTCTTGCAAGGAAAATTCGTCTTGGGAGAGCTCTGTCCTGAACAGGCCGTGGGTTCGGGCGAGCCATCGCTTGCCGTCCTGGATGCGACTGTGCAGTTGACGCCGCAGAAGGGACGACGGTGGGATCTCGTGCAGCTCGGCTTGTTCTTCCAGCGCCAGCGCTTCTTTCCAACCGACCTTGGTGCTCAAAGCATGCGCCGCCTCATCGGTCCACACTCGAGACTGCTTCCACTTGTCTAGCAAGCGAACTACTTCCAATGGAAACGCAGGTAGCTGGATGAGGCGACGCAACTGACTGCCCATTTCCTCGAGGCTTTTGGGAATGTCGTTGACAAACGATTGCAGTTTATGCGCTTCGTCGACGCAGATTTGACGCAACTGGGACAGCCGATCCAGCTTTGCGCTGTGCGAGACGAGTGTGCGTGCAGGGCTGCTCCATATTGCGTCAATATCCGAAATGGTCGGAAACAGCTCGGTGGATAACGAGAGGACAGCGGTCGAATTGGCCAGCGACTTCTCGACGAGGGCGTTGGCAGCTAGCAACCAGTTGAGGTACGCCAACTCGCTGTGCAGCGTGGAGGTTTCGGGAATGCCAGTTGAACCCAGGTCTGCGAGCAAAGTCTCAATACTTCGAACAAAAATCCCCAGCACGTGGTTCTCGCTGTGCAACGATTCCAAACTCACTTGAGCAGGCGCGTTGGCGTCGTCCGACTTGAGAATCTGCAATTCTTGGATCACCAATTGTGCTTGCTGCTGAATTGACTGGGTCGTGGTCACCAATTCCGCGATTTGTTGGATTTCAGGCATCGAATACTTTAACGAGGCGGCCGCACGGTTCAGCTCGCAAAGCTCAGACAGCGTCCCATCCTGCATGCACCGAAGCGCTTGGTTGCGCCACGATTGCAGTGCCGCCGCAGCCACCTTCAGTTCGTACAATCGACTTGCAGACACTTCAATATGCTCGCGTTTCATCTGGTCGCTTCGTTCAAGGGCGAGATTAAGTTGGTCCAAGGTCGTGATTGATTCAAGCTCGCGCTCCCACTCGTGCGCCTGCTCAAACTTGCTGTCGAGGGTGTCAATATACTGGGTGAGCACGGCTGTGTCGACGTGATGCAGCCAAATGCCGTTAGTCGTCACGTCGCACTTGCACATGGAAGCAAAGTGGTCCGAGCACCCGATAGCGCGACACTTAAAGCACACAACAGCCGCCACGAAGCAGTACTGCTGACATTTTGTACACCGCAAGCCGTCGTGTTTCCCGGTGCGACCGGCCCACAACACTTGGCGAGACACGCGCGAATTGGACGCGACGCTCATTTTGCCCACTTTCATCTTTTCGGTACGCATCATTTTCGACAGTCGCACGGGTTCCACGTCCTCATCGAAGTCGGCAGTGGCCAGGCGAATGCGGGCCGACGCACGGGAAAATGTCGACCGGCCATGGGACTCCAAATACCCCTCCATAGGTTCCGACTTGACAATACCATGGGCTCGAACTGCGTCGTGGAAGGCAACTGTTTCGTCCCGCACTAGAAAGCCATGCATCAGGCGAAGAAACATGAAACAAAGACGTGAGAAATACAGGTCTTGAGGCTAGGTAGAACGTGCGCCTTGACACTGCCAGCGTCCAACGCGCCAGAGCCTTCCAACGAGGCCAACGTGACCGTTAGCAAGAGGGCATCGTGAGAGAAGACTGGGATTTTGGAAAACCTAGCGATCGCGTGAAAAAACGGATCAAGCCGTTTTTCAAGAATGCAGCGTACTTTTTGTAGTTTTGCACGGCGATGTGGCCCCACGATATCCAATCTGGCGTCGCAAAATTGACGGCTTCGGCCAAGTTGAAGCCGTTGTTAAACCCGCCGTGATACGACGACGGGTACGTCACGATGAATTCGTTGGGGTAATGCGTCGCACGATACACTGGGACTCCATGCTTTTGCAGGGTTTCGGGCGAAAACATCGTGACCTATTTGCAGTTGATGGGCAGACTGTCGACGGACGAGACGTACCAGTTGCATATGAAGATCGGGCTGCGAGCCAAACAGACCTGGAGTCACCTTTCGCATGACGCTTTCCATCTTGTCAGCGGCGTGGCCAGGCACGCCGTACCTAAGGTCCAAAGTCACACTGACAAATGGAATGCGATGCATTTCAGCACCAGGTCTTGGGGGCGCCGCGGTGAAGATACGAGATGCTGTAAAAGTTGTGGTCCTCCACGTGCCAGCAAAACGTGGAAAAGCACATGCCAACGTACATCCACGGGACCATGACGCCCTTGATGTCCTCGTCCAAGTACTGGAGCATCGATCCGTTGAGCTTGGGCAGGTTCGTCAGGTTCCACGGGCTCGTCGCGTACATGTTGAGGTTGTTGACGGCGTCAAAATTGGACTCGTTCTCTAATTCGAGTCCCTCGGCCAGCATCGTCTTCAACGAGAGATCTGTTGGAGACTGGAGCTCCGGCGACGTCATGTGCACGGCTCTGTATCGATCTAACAGGCGATTCCGAATTTTCTTGATTTTCTCCAGAACGGGAAACCCGCTGCCCATGGTCCCTGTGTCCACGTCGCTGCCGTACTCGACTTGGATTTTCCGGGTGGGGTCGGTTACAATTCGCCAGTACTCAGCTTCAAGTTCTTGGATGGACGGCACGTGAGACGATTGGAAGTACTCTTGTTGCCATGCGTCTGCCTTGGCCTTGAACGACGCGAGCGTGTGCTCCGCGCCCATTTCAAACCCAAATTTCGTCGGTTTCTCCGACAGTTGTTCGGCGATGCAAATCTCACAAAACCAGTCGCCTCGCGGCAGGTCCTCGACGGGACGCGTCAAGCAGAACCCATGGAACCCGCCGTTGCACCCACTGCAATGGACCATGCGGTCCACGCAATCTCCTCGAAGGCAGAATTGGCAAATGTCGTTCTGGAGCGCCAGTTGGGCCGATTCACTACGCCACGTGTATTTCAGTCGAGTGTTCGTCGAGCATGGTTGTCAACCTCGTGCTACCGTTGGCCAGAATGAGCTGCATTGTGCCATACGAGATTGTGTCGCGAGCGCCATCTACCAAGATATGCGTTGACGACCAGCATATGGAATGTGTACAAGCACCGACCTGGGTATTCGACCTGCACCATTACTTTCTTGCCTGGCAGAACTCGCTTGACTTCGCCAAGTACAGCGGAGCCTGCTCCAAAACTGCGATAGTACTTTTGTCCCACCCGCACACACGGAGGACTCAAGCGAGTTGTTCGCTCCGGATCTGCGGCCAGAGCAGTTGGCTCCAGCAGAGCCGGGTCCACGGGCTCTTGAGCTTCCGTGCTGAGGAGTCGGATTGCTGCACTGTCTGCTTTTCGAGGCCGCCCTCGGCCCCGTTTGATAAAACCAGGGAAAATTATCGGGGTGGTCTGGGCTGCGACATCCGATCGAAGCAGTGGAGGCGTTGAGGGTTTCGACTCAACCAAGGTAGCAGGTTTGACTGAGTCTGCTTTTCGAGGACGCCCTCGACCACGCTTGACAGGGACAGCAGGCGCCATGTCCGTGCTATCGCTGGCGTCGTTTGATGTCTGGACTATGCCGTCCACGCACCCGATGGAAGGCCGTTGTTCGGCTTTCAAGACTGCCGGTTCGGTTTTCATGGTGGCAGTGTTGGCTTTCACAGCAGGAGAAAGCGTTGGTTTCGTGTTTTTTTCGTGGAGTTCGAAGGAGAGAAAATACGTCCTGTAGAGCGAGCGCACTTCCTCTTCAATTGTCGGCGTGATGGTCAAGTCGGTCACTTCGCGGAGGGTCTCGACCACGGTGGACCATGCAGCACTTTTCTCCACCGCGTCAAAGCCCCCGTAGTAGCAAACAATATTGTACAATGTGCTGAAGTTCGTTCCCAAGCCATCGAGGACAGGTGTATGCTCCATGGGGGTACCATTGCGATACTACACATACCCACACACGCATTTGAGACCCTCTTCCGTCCGCCATTGCATCCACGCACCAGAAACAAGCGCCATTTTTCCACAAATGTGCCTTCCTGGCGCGAATTTCCCTATAAAATTTCAACCCGATCAATTTCGCCCGCGCGACCATCGCCCCCGCCGTACCTCGATCGCGTTCAACGGTTGTAACCTCGTGCGAAACTTGAATTTTTTCTCGTTTACTGCGAACGGGGGCCGCCACCCCGCGGGGGGCACGATCTTGCAGATCCCTGTCTGCGCCGCTTCCGCGCGGATGCTAGAACGTTTGCGGTGTCCATGAAATGTGACAGGTCATTTTACGTTCAAAATCAATTTTTTGTACCTTGCGATGTACAGCAATGGGTTTTTAAACTCTTCAGGGGTAGGGTAAAAGATTTGGCAGGGTGGGCACACGAACCCATCGGTGGATGCGTCGCGCGCCATTTTTTCCGACTCGGCCATGGCGGCAAGGGGACGTCGCGTACGTTGGGTCGGGTCGAGAGAGTGAAACGTGTTGAGAAACGTTGCGGAGGCTGTGCACACGCGCAACGGACTCGACAATTCGTCGACAGTTTGTTGAGCCAGTGGCGGCAGCGGCGTTTTCTTTTGTGACGGAATGCTGGTTTTGCCGCAGCCCAACCAGCCAATCGGATGTCGCCGATGCGGTTAAATTGCATTGATTCAATGGGATAAATGAAGATTCCGCGCATAAATGACGATGCACCATGTGAAGTGGGCAGGTGGAGCAACTACGCACGACAGGTCGCGACGCTCCAAGTACCGCGACTGCACGTCGATACCACTGGAAGCTAAGGAGGTATTTTTCATGCTATGTCGAGGTCAAAGAAGTGCGGTAGAGAGCACTGCGAGTCATGAGCGTGCATTAGCTTCCAAAATAAATGATGGAAATATTCATTGAATTGTTGAAATTTGCGCGATACATTGTTGCGCACCATGCCGTTTGATTGACATTCCATAAAGTTGGGTGAATTCCATCAAAGAAGTAGGGTGGGGAAGCGGGAGCGACGGCCATGTCGCTGCGTCCGAACGAATCTACCAAGGGCATCTCGTCCAGCTGCAACAATCGCAAGTCTGCGTTGCATTTCTCGGCTGTGAATGAGGTTGGGTCGCCAGTGCTTCGAGATGACCACGATGAAATGATGTGGGAAAGGCCAGCAGGTACGCGATCGTCCAAGATATTGTGGGTTCTACGCCGAGAGTTTGTCTGAACGCGACGTTCACGTCCAGTGCCTGTGCAACCCTTCGAGTTCAACAATGTTGCTGGTCGCTTGCGCTCTCGACGAAATAGCATGAAGATGCTCCGATCCACGTCGTATTCGGGCCAAACGTATGGAACATCAGGGTACGTTGCGTATTGGGGACGCGCTCCGTCACTGCGACCGTATGTGGCTAGAGATTTCGACGACAATGATGCCAACAAGGACATTACGTTTGACGGCGACTACCACTCGGTGTACATATCGCCAGCTCCCAAAGGTACTGTTGGCTTTGTATGCAAGATTGACAACTCGGTCGTGACAGGGTGGAGGGGAATTCTGGTTCTTATGGAAAGTCCGGTCTTGCTCGTGAGCATCGGAATCTTTGCGGCACTGATGGGGTCATTCTCTTGTTTTTCGCAAGAAACCTCTACTCACGAACGAATAGGCTCTGGCTAGATGCGATCATCTTGCGCGTGACCATGTTCCACCAAGAGCTGGCGGGTCTCGGGCACGTATCATTCCCACAGTGGTCCAGGTTGTCATGTGTATGGGTAGATTCATTGCCTTTCTGCTGTTTTCCCTCGTGGTCGGGGGCATGGGGACGGTGACCTTTGTCCAAGAGTCGTGTGCTTGTCTGAATGGATGTCCAGGTGCTGGTTCATTTTGTGTGCCCTCAAGCCGCGGGCTCTGGGCTACCACAGATGAAGGTTGCTTTGTCAGGTCCGACTTTAACAGCCCACTACGTTTTGTTGAGCTCGTCCATTTCGATATGTAGGCGTCGACATGCGCGAGTTCTTGAGCCCGACATGTCTCTTGGTCAAGATGGCCGGCCTGGTATCGGCATATGCTGCTGGTACGGCTTTTAAGGTGGAGTATCGCACATGACGATATTCTGGTAGGGCTCAGTATTGGGAAAGAAGGGCCGTTCATCATGATGTCATGCTGCTTCGCAGATATCCTCATGCAGGTCGCCAATGCATTCTGTCTTTCCTTCCGTCGCATTCTACATATGTGATGTAGATGGGCTACTTTCGCCGAATATACGAAGACTCGTCCAAGCGGTTGAGTTGGCCACATTCATGACAATTTGTGACCCACACTGTTGTAGACTTGAAATGCTGTCGTGTGCATGTGCAGCGGGGGTCGCAGCGACATTTGGGACTCCATTTGGCGGTGTCTTGTTCTCGGTCGAAGTCACTGCATCGTTTTACATGGTGCGGAACCTGCCACGGTCGTTTTTTGCCGCTTTGGCAGGGGCCGTCACGATTGCGTTTCTCGTGACGAATGGTCAGTATGGCCTCTTCGATCGGTCTGCTGGGTTGGGGCTCACCGAAACCAACTTTACCAAGTAAAGCACTGCGTTGTCAGTGAAAGTTTGAATGAATTGTATGTCGTAGGGTTTTCACATACATTGACGGTGGGATTTTCGTCTTCATCGGGGTCGTCTCTGGTGTGCTCGGGGCCGTGTTCATTTGGATCATTTCGGTTTTGGTCCGCGTGCGAGACACTTGGTTCTTGTCGTTGAGGTACAGAGTGTCTGACATGCAGTGTTCTCATCCATCGGACGCAGCGGCCCGCCACTCTTGTACAAGCGTATCATTGTCGTGCTGGTTGTGACCGTAATTGCCAATATTTCCTACTTTTACGGGGACCCTGCATGGTTTCTGCACCACGGTAAAGCGCGATCGACGTAGCGGCCCGTTCGCGACGTCCATGTTTGTAGGGTCTCCTCAAAAAATCATCGATACGCTGTTCACGCAGTCGCCGACTCGAGAAGACGGCGCAATGTTGGCTCGGTCTCTGCTCACGTTTCTACCACTGAAGTATTTCATGACGATTGGTGAGGTCGAGCCATTGCTACCCTTTGGTTCTGACTTGTGATCATAGTGTGTGTCGTCGTGCCTCTTCCGGCGGGTATTTTCACGCCGACATTTGTCATTGGGGGAATCTTTGGGCGCTTGGTCGGCGAAGCGATTGTCGTCACGCAGGTCGTTCCGACCAAGTTTGAGCCGTATGAATTCGCCATCATCGGCGCCGCGGCGTTTTCATCGGGGGTCACTCGTGCGATTTCGACGGCTGTCATCATCATGGAGATCAGCCACAACGGGTGCGTTGCGTCGTTTTCCGTCGTGGAGGGTGTTGATGTTGGTTGCGCAGGTACCTAACCATACCAGTCTCAATCGCGATTCTTTCGGCCTACTTTACGGGCGGCCGATTCATTGAGAACGTGTAAGTATGTCGAAAGATGCGAGCTTTTCCATCTCGTCACTTGGAGTTGCGCAAATAGATACGACGTATTGATCACGACGTCTCGGCTGCCTCGCCTGAAGAAGCTTCCCAAGGCCGCATATGACATTCCAACCTGGGAAGTCATGAAGGTCCGTCGATTTCAGCAACTTGGTCCCAACGCGCTTAATCTTTTGCCGTAGACTGTCGATAGAATCGACTACCTCAGTGCCGATATCACGTATCGACAGGCTCACGACATGCTGACGGCGTCGCACGAGCCCGTCTTTCCCATCGTGGTGAGTGTTTTGCGTACATGCTGAAACTCGGCGACGTGACGTATACTACCAGGACAATATCGAGTCGATGCAATTGGTTGGTGCGGTCACTCGCAGCCGCCTCCAAGAAGCCGTCGACTACTGCAAGGGCAAAGCAGAGGAAGTGTTCCACGTAAGGCGTCCATTTCTTGGGGCGAAGTCACAAGTGAGTGCCGCAGGATGGTAAGCAGACTTCGCAAAAGAGTCTGCTCGACTGGCGCGTTCAGTTCGCCTATCGTCGCGGCGGCCACGTCTTGTCGTTGGACGACAACACGGGATGCTCTCGAACGAAGTTGACGGTAGAATATGCTGCGGCGGATTCGTCATGTCGAATTGATTTTTTGTAGGTACTGATGAACCCCAGTCCATTCCAAGTGGTCGAAATGACCCCCATGCAACGAGTTGACGCGGTATTTCGCATGCTCAAGCTCAACAATGCGTACGCTCCATGCTCGTGAATAGCCGTGTGGACCTGTGATGATGTGAGTAGGTACGTCACGCAGACTGGGAAATTGGTGGGGGTCATTTCACGGGCGAGATTGATGCGATTTCTCGGCACGGTAAGGCAGCTTGCGATGAATGTTTTGTGTCAATGGCTTTGTTTTGCAGGCAACGAAGTATCGTATTCCTGGCGTGTTAAGGCACCTATCGCACATCTTTTGCAACATCTACCCCGACGAAAAGCACGACGACAGGGAGTTGAAGGACGAACCCAACGCAGACGACTACGTGCCGATTCCGTAGATTGTCTCTCCTCCTTATAGATGAAGGGGTGACGACAAATACGATGGTTTCTTCAACTTGCAGTGTCGTGCAGTCGGCAAGCATGCTCCTAAGCATGGTCATATCAGTGGCAGTCTCAGTCGAGCGAAAGGTCGCTGTTGCGATGTGATTCGAAATGGCCCACATCGCAACAGCCAACTTGGCAACGGAGTATTTCCTGAGTCTGCTCACTCTGATGAAGGTGCTTCGGCTGCTGCATGCAGACGCGCCGACGCATTGTCGGTACAGTGGCGAATTGTCCACAAAACAATTCGCGGGAGGGGTTCGTCCGGATATTATTCGGACACGCCCCCAAATGCCGTTTCGATCATTCCACGAGCAAATGGAGAAGGGTGTGCAGAGTCTGACGTTCGAAGAGCTCTCGATCCTGAATGAGCGCAAGGAAGAGATCAAAAAGGACCACATGGGCTACTTAGACAGCCATCCGGAGCTCAAGACCCTCTTGAGCTCGTTCATGTCTGCTGTACTCATCGAAAAACCCACGGATATCCTCGCCTTTGCCAAGGACCACTTCGACGCTCTGAAACCGATCAAGCTCGCGGTAGGACTCAACAACGCGTTGTACACTCACGCGCTAGTAGCCGATGCCTTTGGTGGTGTCAGGACCTTCGGGCGTTGGAAAAGGAACACTGATCACACGTCTCTTGGGGAAGTTCTCGACGCAATTTGGATTCTCTGTCAGCCACACGACGCGCGGCCCGCGTGAAGGTGCGACCGTGGTCACATATGCTTACACGCCGTTTGGTTTATCTGCTCGTCATATTCACTGCACTGGGTTGCTAGGCGAGGAGAATGGTGTCGCATACAACTTCGTCACGAACGACGAATTCGAGGCTGAAGCGGCCAACAATACGTTCCTCGAGTACGCTTACGTGCATGGCAATGGCTACGGCACGTCATTGCAAGCCGTGGAAGCGGTACGATTCCATCTTGGCCAAACTCTGTGATTGATCACATGCAGGTCCAATCCCAAGAAAAGATTTGCGTTCTCGATATCGACATTCAAGGTCACGAGGGGGCACCAGCCTTAGAACACTGCGACGGTTCACACTCGCTTTAATTCACCATAGGCGTTCAGCAAGTCAAGAAATCGGCCACAAAAATGAAGTTCCTCTTCATTGCCCCACCGTCCATGGCGGACTTGGAGAAGCGCTTGCGTGGGCGGTGAGATTTCCGTCCGACTTGAAGCTGCTGGAGCTGTCAAGATGTGACCTAGAGGAACAGAGACGGAGGAGAAGGTGGCGCTGCGGTTAACCAACGCCAAGGCCGAATTGGACTTTGCAGCGCAAGGACATTTTGACAAAGTGCTCGTGAACAACGATCTGGACGAAGCGTTTGCAGAGCTGGAGGAGACGATGGCGGAATGGTATCCGCAGTTCCGATTCAAGTAGATTGCCTCCACATGAAGAAGATCTGCCAATTTGTTGGAATTTGGTCGGGTCACTCCTGATTAAATTGTGAAAACATTTGCAAAAATTCAGTGAATATTTTGTCGAATCCGACGCTGACAATTTCCGAGCGCGCTGCAACCGAACGTGTACCTCGATGGTGGCGATCACGAGCGTGTGGACCGCATTGGCCGCTGCCGTAGCCTCTTGGCTGCATGTCGCGAACGCGGATGCGTCGTCATACTCGATTGTTGACACTATCGTGGAAGGGGACGCCAAATTGAGCGTCGTTCGCTCCAGCGTAGCGTTTGACACAGGAAGCATCCGCGTCCGCTTCCTCCTGTCGGATCAAGCCATCATTGGGGGGCAGTTCGAAGACCCAGAATACAGCGACCAAGCCATCTTTCCTGGTTTCGCCATCATGCAAGCCGCGAGATACTTGGATCGTCCGCTGTCACGTGCGATGCAAATCGGATTGGGAGTGGGGACTGTTCCAACGTTCTTGCGGCAGCATGGGGTACCGACAGACGTTGTGGAGATCAGCCCAGGGGTCGTGAAACTGGCTGAAGCTCATTTTGGGTACGAGAACTGCGTGGCACCGCAGAAAACCAAGACCGACCTGACCAAAGTGCCCCCGTGTCCCAATGGCAAGACTGTTGTGATGGACGGCCTCGACTACTTGAGCACCAAGGCGCCTCCGAAGCCCTTCTACGACTTGATCATCATTGACGTGTACACAGGACACAATGTCGTCCCTTTCTACACCGATGCGACCATGTGGCAACTCAAAACGTCGTGGCTCAAGCCCCGGGGTATCATCATCGTGCTTCGACTTCTCATGTGGGTGTTGGTAGGAGTCGTTGTTCTCAACTTCGTGGGGTATTTCAACTCGGACCTCGTTCGCGCGATCTATTTTACGCTGCGTTCGGTCTTCCAGCACGTTCGATGCTTTCGTGAAATGGCCGAGGGCAATCCATCCGAGCCCGCCAACTTGGTCTTCTACTCCTCCAGCGCCCCCATCACGTTCACCCTTCCGACGGGGCCGCGCTATGACGACAACCCTGCCGGGTACTACGAGGTGCGTTGCAGCGCGTTGCCGTCCGTGTCTCACTTGGTCGATCCAGGTGATCGCCAAGTTTCAAGAATGGGAGGTACTGGCCGCCCAGCATGCGCCGAGGGAGTGACGGCGCTCTTGATAGATAACGTCGTGGACGCCGTCAACCATCGAGGTTGCGGTGGACCAAGACGTGTACTCAAGCGAGATCGACTTCGACGACCTCAAAGCTGTCACCGACGACACGGCCATCCTCAAGTCCGGCGCCGACTTTCAACCGTATCGCGACACGTTGGCCGCCACGGAAGACTATATGCGCCAGTTTTGCATCGGACAGTTCCCAGCGGCCATGTGGACTTCGCTCGGGCTGCCAACGTCGTAAAGCGGTCTTTATATATCAGTTCGTCTAGTCTATTCGTCATCTTCGTCATCTTCATCGTCGCTGGGCTCATACGATTCCAACCAGCTTAACCACTCGGACGTTTCAATGATCGCTTGCATTTTCCCCGCCGTCGTGTCCTCAACGTCGTACTTGTACTCGATAAACGCCTCGTCCGCCACAATGTCAAACGCATACAGCGCCTTGAACGCGAGTTCCATCATGCCCTTCGTTCGGTTGCCTTCGCGGCCGCGGTGTTCATGCATAAAGAGCTGCAGCGCGTACAGCGCCTTGAGTTGTTCTTTGCTCGAGGCGACGCCGACGGTCGCAGACAAGAGCGCCCCGTACTCGTCCGGAGTGAGCCACTTGGAGCTCGAGATCGCGGTTTCTTCGTTGTGTTTCAACACTTCGGCCATCACGACAGCCGCGCTCACGCCCTGCAACGAGGCCTTGCCGGCCTTGACGATCTCTTGACCCTTCTTGGTCGTTGCCAACAACGCGCGGACAACTTCTGTGTCTTTCACTGCCTTTTCAGCCGCTGCCGCCATCGCAGCCTTCTTTTCTTCGGCGGCAGCAAGGGCCGCTTCGTCCGCCAAGCGCTTCGCCTCCTTTCGTTCGGCTTCTTTGCGCTTCTTCTCTTCCTCGCGGGCTGCCTTTTCCTCTTCCTTCTTCGCGCGAGCAGCTTCGGCCGGATCGGGTTTGTCGTCCAAAGTCTGGCGCCCAAAAGCCGACGTCATGCGGCTAGTCGAACGGTCATCGTCGTAACGACGGTCACCACTGCCAAATCGTCCGCCGTCACGGTCGCCGAAGCGAGGGCCGTCATTGAAGCGGCCACCGTCACGGTCGCCGAAGCGAGGGCCGTCATTGAAGCGGCCACCGTCACGGTCGCCGAAGCGAGGGCCGTCATTGAAGCGGCCACCATCACGGTCGCCGAAGCGAGGACCGTCTCGGTCACTAAAGCGAGGACGACCTCCATCACGATCATTGTATCGAGGAGCATCGCCGAAGCGACCACCGTCACGGTCGCCGAAGCGGCCGCCGTCGCGATCTCCAAATCGACTAGGTTCACGATCTCCAAAACGTCCACCATCGCGATCACCAAAGCGACTGGGTTCGCGGTTGGCAAAAGCACGAGAGAACTTGTCGTCCGAGCCACTAGGACGGTCCGAGGAGCGCAGACCGCCAGAAGCAGGGGGGGCGGCATCTTCGCCGCGCCGAGTCAAGTTCAATCGCATGTAAGCAGGACGTTCTTCAAATGCACGTTCATCTCGTCGAGGGCGTTCATCTTGGTAGCCTCGAGGTTGTTCACGGTCTCCACGCCAACGGTCAGAACCTTCGCTGCGCATGGGTTCGCGCTCGCGGCGGTCATCCCGTCCGCGGCCACCACGAAACCCGCCATCGTCGTCCGAGCGTTCACGAGGACCACGAGGAAGGTTTTCCAAACCACCTGGGTTGATAGGCGCAGCGCGCGCATTGCTGTTGCTCTCGGTGAGGAACTCACCGAGGCCCATTTTCGTTCCTTTCCGGCTCATCTTCGTTGGATTCTTGAAAGTGTCTGGGATGGGCACTGCCCAGCGGCGAATGGTTGGCCCACAGAAAGTGGCCAATCAAACGATCACATATCCTAATTTCAACCAATCAAAATGGTGAAGAATCGTATAATTGGCCAATCAGAGTTGTGCCCGATGGACAGTTCCGTCACCCAAAACAGCGGCAGAGCGGCACGGACGAGGGGCCTTGTTCTGCCGATTTGAGCCGCGAAGAGCCAACGCGAAGGTCGAGGCTGGGCACACAACTTTGGAGATGCCGCATGCCTCGAACAGAGCATCGCGCGGCTATAGGAGGGAAAACACTCCTCGATCGAGCATTGCACACTCTCATCCCCGAACGCCCCGCTTGACCTGTTGCGGCGACTCTTGAACGAGTGGGTACAACACTGGCTGCACACGAAGGCTTGTACGACTCAAGCTGTGGATTTCATCCTCGCGCCGTCCAGGTAGAGGTCCTTACGCGGTTGGACGTGAAACGGGAGCGGTTTCATGATTGGGACGTGTTTTACCAAAGAGCAACTCTGTGGAGGACGTGCAGCTTCATGGACGTCATGATGAGGCTCAAGGGGGGACAGGCGTTCAAAGCGATCTCGGATGCGTTTCAGGCAAGGGAGCAGTCGCTCGGACAGGAGGGGCTGCCGCTGACCGACTTTGTCGAGATCATTCTGAATAGCCTGCCGAAAGTCCAATCGTCCAAGGAAGCGTTCGACACGATCAGTGGTCTCATCGATCTTTTCAACGACATTGACATCAACGGGGATGGGACTCTCGAACTGAGCGAGTTCACGTCGTACTGTGTGGACGCAGGGATGGTTGCGACTCGAGTCAAAGCCGCGCCGCTCAAGTACCAGTACGTAAAGAACAAAGACTTTGTCGATCGCACGACCGACGGCAGCGGGATTGAAAAGATAAAATGGTGCCCAGAGCTCAAGCGCGCCGTCGTCGTCGAGACGAAAGCGAACAGCGTCAAGATCTACACCCACGAATTCAAGCTCGTCAACCACGTGTTTGCCACGTCACTGAACGTTCCTTGCGACCAAGTGGGGGTGGCAGGGGATGAAGCGCACTTCTCGCGCCAGTCGTTCACGAGTGACGTGGACCTGTTGGTGCAGGATGCCGAGTTCATTCCACCGTACAAACTGCTCGTGGTGTCCACGTCCAACTTGTCCCTGACGTTTTACGACACCGATCACTACTCGTGTGCGATGGAGACCCAGACAAGCGTGACCCAGACGATGCTTCGGTGGTGCGATGGCGCCAACGTGCTGGCCACGACAGGCAACAATCATGTCGTGTCCTTGTGGCGCGTCACGGCAGAGATTGTGTCGCTCGTGCACCAGATCCTCGACCACCACGACATCGTGATGGACGTGCTCCCGATCCCGCAGTACGACGTGCTCGTCACGTGCGACATCAAGCGATTCATCTACATGTGGGACATCCAGGACTTTCGGTCCCGCGGCCACCTCGTTGGTCACACGCACGGGGTCCGGCAGATGGTGTTTTCGACCACAAACGACATGCTGCTCACGGCCGGGTTCGAGTTTGACGCGTACGGGTGGGACGTCTCGTCCAAGCAAATCGTGATGACCCTGGCCGGCCATCGCGCGCCGCTGGTGGGCATCCAACTCGCGCGCTTTCACACGGAGCGCGCCGTAACCGCCGACGTGGAAGGAAACTTCAAGGTGTGGAATATCCATCGACTCAACGGGGCGTCCGCCCAGCTCCTCGAGAATGTATCCAACTTCCCGCGATTCTGTCCCCGGGCGTTCGCCACGTTGACTCCGTGGAGAGACATTGCCGCGGGCAGCACCGTCTTGCATGTTTTTGACAGCGTCAAGATGCAAAAGCACGACGAGATCCCGCTCCGGGCGTTCTTCCTCCAAGCGAGCAACTTGTTTCTTGGCGTCACCGAGACATGCGTCAACTTGTGGGACGGCGGCACGGGCGCCCTCTTGGAAGAGTTTACGGGTGCGACGTCGTCAGTCGGTGGCGTCGGACCTAAACCCGTTGGCATGGCTGCGTAGGGCTGACCAAGAGCCAATTCCTCTTGTGTTGCCAAGACTCGCTCCATCGAAAGCTGATCGTAGCGACCGACGACGGAGAAGTCGAAGTTTACAATTGCACGAACCTCGCGCGTGTGCGAAAGTCTAGGGGCAGCATTGGTACGTGTCGACGCGGTGGTGTGCCACGTCACGATTGGGGGCTAGGACGCATCGCAACGATTCAATACGACTCTGCCAACAAGTTGATCATCGCGTGCACGTTTTCGACGCCGCCGGGGGCACACGACGCGTTCGGGTCTGGCGGCATCTACGTCTTTGACGACAGCACGATTGGCGAGTGTGAACTCGTTCGGTCCCTGACCAACGTCAACGTGGAGTCCGCTTCTTTCAGCTACCATGCGTCGCTCATCGCGACGGCCGCGTCCGACGCGGTCATCCAGCTGTGGGACTTCGAGACGCTCCAATTGCAATCTGTGTGCAGCCATCCTGGTTCGTTCATGCACGTCGTGCAGTTTCTGGACCCGTACCCTGTCGTGGTGGCGGCAGACACGAACGGAAACGTCCTTTTCTTCGCGACAACGGCGCAATCGCCGCATCTCGATGGCGGCATCTTGCATGGCTTTACGAATGCCCACGTCGCAAGTACAAGCGGCGACTTCCACGGTAAGGTTGGGGTCGTCGACGGCGAGAATTTGCATCGGGATGGCGACGTAGAACATTTTAGCGTTGTCACGACGATCAACTGCCACTTGGACGAAGATTCGGGCGTGCACATGCTCGTCACTGGCGACGAGCGCGGCGTGATCTCGATTTGGAATCTGAATCCCATGCTGGCGAGGCTCAACTTGACGGTACGCAGTTGAGTCGTGATCGACACCCATGACATCATGTGCAGCCGATTCCACACGACAAGCTCAAGAGTTTGAGGCGCGGGTACCACGCGAGGAGCAAGTTCCATCGCGTTTTTGGAGCCGATCACGTGGTATCATGTGCGCGGCGGAGTAGTGCAGCCAGCGATGGAAGCGCGACGACACGGCGGACTAGCCTCCGTCAATTCTTGTCGAGTCGCCAGTCGCAAACGGGCTCAACTCGACAAATCCCGACGCCTCGGCAACCCGGCGACGTCCATCGGATGTACTCGTGGGTGGCGCACACGGACGCGATCCACAGCATTCAGTAGGACGGCATGGACCCGACCAGGACAGTCCTAACCTGCCGTAGACTGTGCGAGCATCCCAACCTCATCCTGTCCAGTTCGTTCGATGCCGTCGTGTGTGTGTGGGACTGGAAGGGCAACAACCTTGGGTCCCTGACCAACTTTGACACGTCGCCGATGGCCCACCCGTGGAAATTTGTAAACGAAAACACAAAACGGGAGCGCGAGCGGCGCGAAGTCGTCGAAGAGCTCATGAAAAAGATGGACCAGTCGCCGGAAGAGCGCAAAGTGGCCGACATGCAACGACGGATATCGACGCGCGCCGCTGGCAACGTCAATCCCATCCTCAAGGGATTGTTCGACGCGTCACATCGCACACCGCAGACCCCGCTGCAGAAGGCAAAGAATCGAAGGCGCATCGACCTTGCTGCGGCCCATGAAAATGGACGGTGCGAGTTGAAAACGCGGATAGTGATTCGATTTCACCTGCCCGTAGAAATCTGAGCTTAGTGCAAGTGGGGCCATTGATCGCCCGCCGGAGCTCGAGTCGCGGCGCGAACGACGAGCCCAGCTGCGACAGCGACACATTCGAACTCGACAAGAAGGAAATGGCCGAGTTGAACGTGCCGACTGCGCTGTCGTCGAGGCTCGAGATGCTGCAGAACCACGAGAATTTGGCCAACACGACCAAACACATGTACGTCAACTTTGCGGACATTGCCGACGATCGGAACAAGAAGACGTCCCTCGCGCGGTGTGGCAAATTGCGCGAGGTTGACTTGAATCCGTCGCCGTTTCTCCGCGACAAGCTCGGCGCGACGGATGTCGTCACGATGAGCCATTCAGTGTTCGTGCCCAGACCCAACACGGCCCCGGCGCTCCTCAAATCGACGAGCTTGCCGCCGTGTGCGTCCAGTCCGGCACACGGCAAAGTACAGCAGTCCGTGGCCCGCGCAAAAACGGACCAATGCACCCGTCGAACGTCGTCGAGGAACTCCATGTCGGCGCTGCACTTTGACGACTACAAGGCACTCGGCAATCCCCACTCGACATCGACTGGAAAACTCAAAAAGATCAACGAGATCATCTTGTGTGCGACGACGTCCATTGAATTGCGCAGCGCCTCGGCCAACCCCTCCGACACGAATAATGCCCCCCTCTGCAACCAGGAGCATGCAGACCTGCGGCAACGAATGCTGCACACCAAGTCCAAGTAACGATGTGCCTTTCGCTCGCCATGCACTAAGCATGTGACTAGGCACGACCGACTCGTTGCAGACCCGGAACCGCGCAAACTCGTCCGGACCAACCTCCGCGCGGCCCAGCAGAAGCTGGAGAAAGAAAAACGAGCGAAGCGGTACTTGGCGCAAAAGAAGCGCCAGACCACGGCCAAAATTGGGACCGTCCTGCGCCACACGTCGATCATGATGACGAGTCACGGTCCTGGGGTCCACGAAATCGCAAAAGCCGACGGCACGCACCACCGCTTCGGGATCTACTCGATCAAAGAAGTGATGGTGATCATCCGCCTCTTCTGGTCCCTCGACATCGACTGCTCCGGCACCGTGTGCGAGAGTGAACTCATGGGGTGCCAGCAGTACTTTGAAAAGTTGGGGTACACCGACATGGCGACAATCTTCCGGAGCATCGACTCCGACGGAAGCGGCGAAGTCAATCTGGCCGAGCTGCTCAAGATTTGTTTCATGTATGCCAGCGCCGCCGACATCAAGGACATGCTGACGCTGGAGAAGCTCGGCCGCGCGCCGTCGATGTTGGCCACCAACGCCCCGCTCACCCCTGAACAACTTGCCGACATGCAAGAGATCTTTCACGTGTTTGACCGGGATCGCAGCGGGACGATCAGCTTGGACGAAGTGCTCGACGCGTTGCACTGCAAGCAAGACAGCGTTTACGACGCTCCCGCGCTGTCGGTCGACGAAGTTCGACAAATGTATCAAGCCGAAGATCGCAACGGGAACAAAGAGCTCGACTTTGACGAGTTTGTCAGTTTGATGCAAGGGCTGTACTCGCAGTCGGGCATGGCGACGACCTAACTCGGATAATTTACGTTCGAGCGACGTCTTGGAGCTGCACCATGAGGCCGTGCTGCGGCAGACACTTGAAGTACTCGACGCCCTTGATCGTCCCGCTGTTCTTTCCCACCGCTTCGTCAAACACGACGCCGACCATCTCGCCTTTGCAGTAGTGGACATTCCCCACAAACGCGACCGTCCCCTTCAGCTTCCCGCCCGACACCGCGACGCTGTCACCAATCTGAACCGAATGACGAATTGGCGACGACTCGGCGTCATCGGTGGTGACGCTCTCGTATGACTCTTTATTTTCCTTTGGCGCTGGCGTCTGTGCTCCCCTCCGTCGATTGCGACCTGGTCAACGGAATAAAGTGATGCAAAACGATCTGTCCTCGCACCCGTCGGTCGGAGCTTGGATTTTCCAGGCCTACGACGAGTCATGTGAGATGGAATATGGCAGTCGGAGAGCATCGCACTTCGTCTGCAGCCGTGCCATTTCTTCAAAGAGCGCGGCCAGGTCATCTTCATCGCCTGCAGAACGTCAAGCCAAGGGAATGGGCCTGCGACATGTACCAAACGGATCTCCCGGCATCGAGAAGGTCATCCCGGGCATATGCGCGAAGCACTCGTGATTCCTATGGATGGAATCAAAGTCACCACACGACCGTGCTTTGCAGTCGTACATGTCGCCAAACGCAGATAATCCGGCAAAGAGAAATTCGTCCAAGTCGATTTTGGATCTTCCCGCTCCCCGTCGCCGCATCCCTCTTCGCTTGCCTTTTGCTTTCTTCTTGCTTCCAAACAAGGATGGTGTTCGAAACATGGCGTCAAACATTTGCATGAAGTCTTCGAATGCTGCGGCGTCGTGGAAGTCACTGCCCATCTCTCCATCGTGTTGGTCCTGTGGAGGGTCCGATATGTGCTTGTAAGCAGCACTGATGCGCTGAAACACCTCGGTCGTGTCGATACCATCGCGGTTCTTGTCGGGATGATACTGTAGTGCCAAACGCTTGTACGCCAAACGCACTTCGTCATTGCTGGCACCAGGAGCCAGGCCCAGCGTTCTACGTTCCCTCGTTAAGACATCGATAGGCTGAGGAATGCCTCGACGCCGTCGCGGTGGCGCTAACCTGTATGCCGCTGCTGTCGCCATGTCGGGTTCTTCGAATATCTTGTGCCCTTTCGCTGATGGAACTCAAGTAAATTTTTCAATAAAGTATCCTTCAGGTAAGTACAATCGTACCTCCGCGGAAGGCGTCGAATTGCTGACGCACGCACGACAGCCGCGCTCCGCCACCATGCCAACATCGGATGCTCCAGAGGACCTTCGCAGCTCATTCCAAGTCGCGCTCAAGGTAAGCTTAAGCAGAACACAGATGCGCCGGTCTCACAGGTAGAATCTGGTGCAGAAGTACTTGCAGGTGAAGACGAAGTCCAAAAAGAGTCGCACGAAGAAACCTAGACTTGTGGCGGAAACTGTGTCGTCCCCAGGTACATACGACGAACACATTGCTCATCTGAGTGTTTTGCATTATTCTTGGTGAATAGATTTGGAGACCGTGTCCAAATGTGTGGTGGAAATTGCAATGCCGTTGAATTCGGACAACGTGACGACGTGGGAAGTTGTGCATGTCCTCAGCGCCACGCTATCTTGCCTCGACGACGTGCATGAGCACGCTCCGCTCACAGTTACATCGCCTTTGGGTCAGAAGCCGCAATCCGATGACTCTTGTGATGATGTCGCGAATGTTCAAACCATCATCCGCATGGCGGAATCCCACTCGTTGTATGCGATGTTGCTGACCGTGCTGCGAAAATGCATCAAGCTTGCATGCATCGAGGCGGGCGACACCTTCAAGGAGTGCATGGACTGCATCGTTGTATGGGTGGTGTCGCACAGCAATGGAAGCTGGAATTGGCTTTTGGTACATGTCAGCAGGTGTGCACCGAAAGAACTCACTGCGTACTCCGTGGCTAGTCTCATGGCAGGTGCGTCCGTGTTGTGCACTTTCTTTCAAGTACTTCATTTTGCTTCAGGTGCCATGAAAGGCCACGCGCTTCTTTTCGACAACTTGAATTCGTACTTGGCCATGAACCACCCTTTCCACGTCACCACGTGCCTCCAAGTCACTGTGGACCACTCAATATGTGAGAACACGGCAGCGGAGACCGTTGACCGCATTCTCGACCTCTGCAGCCGCGGGGCCCATGTGCTGCGTGCATGCGATGCAAAATTTACGACCTTCTTGACCATTCCACGCCTCACCTCCCTCATTCGAACGTGCGCAGCTTCCACCCTGGATTTCCAGGCGAAGCTGCTCGACATCTTGCGCTTCCACAGCAGCGTTTTGTCTGAAACACCGGTCCATTTGATTCCGTTGCTGGAGGAGTTGCTGTCCCAGTCGCCCGATACGGCGCCGGTTGTAGCGCAATTCAGCAACTCTGTCGTAGCTTGGTTGCAAACCGACAAGTGCGATGTGTTCCTTGATCGCCTCGTCCGAGCTCTCCCTTTTGTCCAACAAGTAGTCACATCGACGGAGGTCGTGGCGCAGTACGTTGCTGCGATCGCCAAAAACGTACACAGCAACGCGGAGCGGACGTATACGGTGACGCCTTATTTGAGTTGTCGAGGGCCGTCTATCACGTTGTGTTGTAGATATGCCAAGCCTTTTTGCTTCTCAACGATCTTGGCACAAATCCGTCGCTGAATGTGTATGCTCCGTCGGCAGTTGCATGCTTGGATCTGCTCGCTGCAGACCTCCAGCAGTCATCGGTCGCCTCTGAAAAAAAACAGCGCGCTCTCGATTTGATGCACCAAACCATCCACCAAACCATGCAACACCACCCCGACGCGCCAATGCACTCGACACAAAGTTGCACCTCGTTGTCCGCGTGGAGCCAATCCCTTGGGATTCCACATTGGCAGTTGTTCCTCACGCTGGCGGCGACATCGGATGTCAGCGTTTCCGTCTCGGCTCTCAAGCTCATGTGCGATATTCCGTACCCTCCGCTGGAAGACCCCTTGTGGCAGTACCGCTGCCTCCACGACTTGCTTCGCCTGTTTTTCCGACTCCTGGAGAGACTTGACGCCGACGCAAACCCGGTCACTTTGAAACGTATCGACATGGTCAAGGCGATTCTGACCAGGATCATGCAAGAATCTGGCGGAGTCGTTTCGTATCCTGCGTCCGTCGCAACGACCTTTCTCTGTTTGCTGGTCGATGCAGTTGTGTCGCCCGCGTCGCCGACGACAGTGCCCCATGAAGTTCCGCAAGAAATGATTTTTTTTCGGGGAAAAGATGCCAAGGGCAACGTCGGTCAAGCGTTCCGGAAACTCACGGCGACAAATCGTTTGCGACCGTACAATCCGTTCCCGAAGCCAGCAGCGTTGTCGTCAGAGTCGAGGGAACGCGACGTCGACGTGTTTTCGCAGTTGCAGTCGATGCGGTCCAATGCGCACCACATGAACATCCTGCGGGCTCCTTCTCAGTTTGAATCGTATTTGGTTGCTGCACGTGCGGAGGAAATGCAGAGAGCTGTGTCGTGCAGTCGTCAAGTCGAAGATTTGCTTTACCACGCGTTGAATTTGACATCGTTCCCGGATGGAGCCATCCCGCCAGGCAATGCGCTAGTCGACATCTTGCTCGAGCGAACTCTTCCCGTCTCTATGTTCATCCCGCCAGATGATCACTACCGAGTACGTCGATCGCTCCCTGTGACACTTGAAGGAAACGTTATACACACGTAGGACGTGCTGCCTGAACGATCCAACTTTGACGTGGACGTTCGCATCGAGCAGTGGTTGTATCGGTATCCCTGCTTTGTGCCATTGACAAAAGCAGCGGTTTTGTACAGCGCCCCCCAAGCAGCAGTTCGGTGTTTGCCATTGCTCAAGGCCATCTTGGTCGTTCTGATCAACTTTTGGCACGCCAGACGTTTTCACGCAATGGATCCGTGTCCTGACGGCAATCCCTCCCCTCCAACCAACGAAGTTATGTGGGCATTGCAAGTCACGATCGACGTCATGTCGATCGTGGAATTCACAACTTGGGTCCCTGAACCATTGAGCTCGTGTGCACTGCTCTTCCCCCACGTCGCAGCCATGGATATTCGGTCCATGCTGCACTCCGTTTGGATGTATTTGGCGGACCATCCGCCCTCGAAGGCTTTGGTGAAGCAAGACACCGGTGCCATCGACGCATATTTGGTACCTGTCCAAAATGCGTTCCACAAAAATATTGCTTCCATCGCACACTTGTATGGCCACTTCGCGCTGTAGCGGCCACCAAAATTCAACGCCGACGCCAGCAGCACCTTGAGGGTAACAATGCTAACACGAAGGACTCCGGTTTTAAGAGTTGGGTCGCGATTCTGCCACGATGTGTTGGAGATAGGACCAACAACTCCTCGGAAACGTTTTGCGTCGATTTCTCCTTGACTATTGGATTTTCGTACAGTTATCCATGGAATGGAAAATATCTGGACAATGTGTTCTGATTGGAAAAAGTCGGACAGCCAACTGACTCTGCAGCAATTGGCTTAAATCGGTTAATTTCCACGACAATGTCCATGTGGGGCGGTATTTGGCGCGCCGTGAGGCATGTCGACAACAAAGTCAAATTATATTCCACATATCAAATGGTCGAAGTCTCACGTCTACGCGTCCTTGCAAGGCGTGCAAACGTCACAACCTTCAGCTGGGATAAGCGTCGATGTCGTCCACGTTGAGTCTCCCACCACATCTTGGGCAAGCTTGCCATGATAACGCTATATGCAGCAATGACAGTGATAGATGTGCACGGACGACGCATAACAGAACCATTTGCACGTAAATGTACCTTTTAGAGCTCATCAACAGCAAAACCCCACTCATAAAAAATCTTGCCCTGTGTCTTGTTGAAGTCCCGTGAGTCAAGGCTGGACAAAGGAGGAATCCCTCCAGCTGGCGAGCCACACCACCACAAATGCCACGCAGTCGCCACATCTGCAGAAGGTAAAACAAACTCCTCGGGGAGTATCTGCCATCGACCCCCAATGATGGATTGGTCGAGTGATTGATGAGTCTTCATCAACTTGGAGCGGTGGAGACGTTGCTCTTGTTTCCGCGATGGAATCGACTGCTTTCTTCAAAAGCTTCTCGAGCAACGAGTGGGTAATGTTGCCTGCTGTGACTCCCTTCTCTTCAAGGAGTTGTTCGATAGCGTCCCGGATCTCGGTCGGCAGAGTTCGCACCTTGGCCAGGGTTTTGTTCGAGCTGGCTGTGGAGTCCGACATGCGGCGGAATACCCGTTGGCTCCAGGTTGTTTGAGGGCAAGGTCACACGGTCCGTAAGTGCTGACGCCATGCTTAGGTCGCCAAACAACACCGATGAGAGAATAGGATGCATTGCCGACAGGACCGACTCCAGGTACGACTTGTGATACACGAGGGAGGCCAAACACAGCTTCAAAATACCACGAACATCTTGATGTGCCCACAGTCATGGGAAGACGAGTTCCCCTGCATTGCAAACCGCATCGTCACTGCCAGCAAGGAAATGAGGCGGCAAGACTGCGAAGGATCCAGAATCCAGTGGCAAACCAGCAATAACTCTTCAGACGTATTGGTCACCTGCTCCATCGTAATGGACGTATCTCTCGACAACGCTGCCAATGGCCCAGCCACAACGAATGCATACGTTCACGATTGAAGGTCCCGACGTGCTACCACCAATTGTAAAGGTTGCTGCACCCTTGCGGAGTGAATGTGTCCCGACAGAGCTTGAAGCGGTGGG